CTTATATATAAACCCCATAAAAAAAAAAAAAAAAAAAAAAAAGGAGAAGAGTATGGCCTCACTCTGTTTCCATTTAGCTATAATTGTCTCTAGTTTCTCATTTTTTATGGCTGAGTAGTACTCCATTTTTTTTTTAAATCACATCTTCTTTATCCAGTCACCAATTGATGGGAATTTAGGCTGTTTCCAAGATTCAGAATGGATCAAAAAGCAATATCCAACAATATGCTGCATACAAGAAACACACTTAATTCAAAAAGAAACTCACTCAAAGCCTGAAAGTTAAAGGGTAGAATAATATCCATGCAACAGGAACCCCTCCCAAAAAGGAGTAGCTATTTTATTTGCAGACAAAATGGATTTCAAACCAAGACTAATTAAGAAAGACATTCTTGTAAAGGGTAAATTCTGTACGTACATATGAAAATGAAACTTTGTTTTCTCTATCTTAATAATAATGGACATAAAACCTTGCCAACTCAAGGAACTACGCCTCCAATTTAAAAGTATAAAGGGCTGGATGTATACCTCAGCAGGAGAGCAGTTGCCAGCATGAACACATTCTGTGTTCAATGCCCACACCAGAGAAAAATAAAATAGAGAAAAAACAAGCTTCAAATAGTATCAATTTACATGCAAAGTAATTCCTAGAGTATCTTTAAATCCCTTCCCTCTCTCCTCCCTTCCTACTCCCCACCCAATCCAATCCTGTAGTGAACAGGATTTCTGAACCCCACGTCTTTTTCTATTTGTTCTCTTTCTTAATGATCTTCACACATTTTTATGAAATCAGCTTTTCAAGCTTTCAACTAAACAGCTGAAAGGTACTTTAAATGATCACATTGTGCCATCTGGTGGGAATTCTTTTCCAGGAAAAGGCAAACCAAAGAATTTTACTGGCCTGTATTTTCCTGGTTCTGTTCTGTTTGGCTTAATCATGAGGCCATTCTGATACATTTTACAACCAAGCATCTGAGGCCAATCTCCATCCTGTCTATGGACCTTATCAATTCAATATTTTTTTAAATTCTTTTTAAAATTTGATTAGTACATTTCAGATATACATAATGATCATAGGGAATTTGTACCTGTACATGATACATCTTGCTTTCCTTTTTTTCCATTCCCCTCCTCTCCTTTCAACCCCTCTTCCCTTCCTTATTTACAAAAGCTTTGTTTTCATTTTTTTCCAGGACAAGAAAAACAAAATAGAAGGTTCAAAAGAAATCTTTGTATCTGCCTTAGTTACAGTTTCTAAATTAAACCTAAACCGAACTTTTTATTGTCTCTCAAACATGTAGCAAATGAATGCAGTCCTTAAATCTGTCCATTTTTACCCCCAAATAAATTTTAAGTAAATATTATAATAGTTTTGATATAGGAGAAATATAATTCTCAACCTGGTAGATATCAAATGTGCTATATTTATGGTCCCACAACATTGAGGAATGAAGTTGAAAACCAAAGAAAGAAGTTAGTAGAGTTTAATTAGAAATAAGGAGAAAAGAATAGCTTCTGGATTTGTAGGAGGGGTCCTTAATGGGGTAGACACCAAGGCCCTTTGTTAGGGGTAATTTATACAGAAAAATCACAATGTGAGTACAATTATAATCAACTACTAGGATTACAAATATAGATGCTTAGTCAATATTGATCCAATAAGGAAACAAGTCACATAGCAAGGATGCATGGAAAGCACAAAGGTATTTTTGATAAAGGATGACTCCAGAAGTGCTGATCACTGACCTGGGCAACTGATGCCTGCCTGGACTTACTGGACCAGGTGGTGCTATTTACAGTATGGTCTCAAATTACTGCTTTTCCCTTCAGGAAGTATGTAGGCCCAGCCATTACATCTTCAACCTGAGGCTTGGCCTCCTACAGATGCATCTCCAGCCACAATTCCCATGTCTTTATTCTTGTGTTAAAGTCCTTGTGAGTCCAGTCCCTCTCTGACTGTAATGTTAATGTGTTAGTCACTTTTCTCTGTTGCTGAGACAAAATACCCAACACAAAAAGGTGGAAGCGAAGGGGTTTATTTGACTTACAGTTCACAGAGGTTTCAGTCCATAATCAGCTGACTCCAAGACAGGGATGACAAACAGGCAAGGCGGAGCAGAAGTAACATGTTCCACACATGGCAGCAAGGTAACAAGAGGAATTTAACAGTGTCTCCCTTCCCCTTTTTATCCTCTCCAGACTACTGGGATTAGGGTACTCCCAAACCTGTCACTCATGTGCAGTGGTTTAGTAATCACAGACCTTTAATCCCAGCACCACACATTCCAAATTTAATTATCTCTGAAAAAGAAAATACCACCTCATCTGCATGAGGCTTTGGGGGGACATCTAAACACAAACCATAACAGTTAATTTCTATCCAATTTAGCTGCCTATAATAGTTTTATAACGCCATTCATAAATGGCATTTCTTCTGGAGTGGCTTGCCAGGGTATGTACCCATGCCATACAAGCACCAAACAGCTTAGGATTATCTAATGTTTTTACAAGATGCCAATTCCATAGACTCTCATTGATAGGTTGTTCATTTCTTTACTACACATTATTCCTGTATTTATCAATGAATAATGCATAATACATCAGTATTCAAGAATGACTTGAAGATTCTATGTATCTTATTAATTATATTAATTGTGCTAAGCCATTGGTTGAGGGAATAATGGTATGGCTTTTTGTTTTGTTTTGTTTTGTTTTTGAGATGGGCTCCCACTATAGTATGTTGCCCAGGCTGGCACTGAACTCCTAGGCTCAAGTAATCTTCCTGCTTCAGCCTCTCTAGTAGCTAGGTCTGTAGGTGCATTGCCATGATCCCCAGATCAAGGATGACTTTCTATTAAGAATGTTTTTTTCTTGGCTTCTTTTCCCACTTCAGGTTGGAATCTCCCACAAGAAGTCTCAGCATGGATGCGCCGAGGGGTGTTCATATCTATGCTCTTGCTGGGAAGATCAAGGCCCTTTCTCAAATGGACATCATTTTCCAGAGCAGTGATGGAATGGTGAGTCTAACAGACCCAGTTCTGCTGTGTGTGCTGAGGATCCAGCAGAGGACCACATGCAAAAAGGCTTCAATGTGTAAAGTTTCTAGCAGTTTGTATGAAACACTGTAAAAGGGGTAGAATAGAAAACATTGAAAGGACAGCAAAAGATACTTTTGCCTCAGACGAAGGGCCAGGAAATGTAGAAGTTATTCTATATTAGATCTGCACAGCTTTCTTCAAGATCTGTGCTATCAAGCCACTTGTTATTTTCAACTCTGAAAAACACTACAGACTTTGAGTTTAATGAGAAAATCAATTTTGCCATTTCCTAACGATCCATGTTCTGTCCAGATGGCTGTTCACAGAAGTTACCTGAAAATGACACCCATCATCTGTCACTGCCAAGAGTGCTGTATAAACTCCCACAAAGTAAAATGTAAAGTGAAAGAAAAAAATAAGAGCATTTTTGAAAGTCAAGTAAAATAAGGATAAAATCTAGAAATTTAAACCTAGAAATAAAATACAACTCACGCAAGTCAAAGTCATAACAAGACAATGGAGTACATGTTACTCAATGTCAATTGTTGGAGCCTTGTTTATTAAAAAAGGAAAAGCTAGGGCCAGGGATTTAGCTTCATGGTGCCACTGCCTGCCTTGCAAGCACAAGGTCCTGAGTTCAATCTCTAGTACCAAAAAAAATAAAAAATAAAAAAATAAAAAAAATGCAAAAAACCTCAATTTCAGTCTACCAGAAAATCAGGGATTTGGAGATATTTCTGAAAGCTCTAGAAGAAAACCAAAGATTTGGCCCAATAGCTATTTCCAGTCATATGATGCCATGGCATAGATTTCCATTTGTGGCTGATCTCATCTCAGCATGGTCCTGGGTGTTTTCATATGTAGAAATGCTCCCTAAATTTTCTCTTAAAGAGCTCCAACTTAACAATTTGCCATGAGTGGCTTGGGTGGTACTTGTTCTTACCTCGAATTCCTGGTCACATGGATTGAAGTAAACATCTGTGTACAGGGTTGGTACAGTGAGAGGGCACATGGATGTCCTTCTCCTTACCAGCCTTGCCTCTCACTGCACAGGTGACAATGCACAGGCCCTGCTCAGAAAGCACAGCAGTGGGCTGAGGATTCCTGAAGATGAAAAAGCCCAGGCTGGATATATTCCCTAAATACCTACTTGAATTCTAGATCACAGTGTGTCTCCACCTCATTTATCAATGGGCAAAAATATGCTTAACTAGATCACAGGGTCCAGAGATACTAATGTGACATTTTGAACTGACATTAACATTAATAGGAAGGTGTAGCTGAGATGCATGTAGATGTGGTACCCTCCTCAAGGAGGCCCAAAGCGGCCACTCCAGATATGTGGATGGGACCTGCCAACCAGTCTGCAGGAGCAACATAAAAGGCATCTGGAGAAGCCAGTGTAAGCTGTAGTGTATAAAGTGATGATACAGTCAGTATAAGGAGCGAATAAAGGCAGAAATGGAAATCAGGAATTTTGGAATCTCACTAATAAGTCATCACACTACATACTTAAAATGTATTACCTTCCAAAAATGTAAACTGATCTTAATTTTGAAAAGATACTATAAAATTCTATTAGGCATCATTTTATTAGTAGCACACAGCCAGTCCAATAATTAGAGCCTGTGTTCCTTATTACTAGGAGCTAACTCAAAGTGAAAAGGCAGACAACTGGCCTCTCACCAAATAGTCCCAATATTATGGTTTGTGTCTCAATGTGCCCCCAAAGACTCATGCAGTCATAGATAGGGCTTTTCAGAGGTGGCTGGATCTAGGACATGATGCTGGGGATCAAGGATGTGATGCTAGGATTAAGAGTATGAATGCTACCTGCCGTAAGGGTGGATGCCTGGATAAAATATAAGGGAAAAAAAGAGACGTCACTGGTTACTTGTTGCCATGCTGCCATCTGCTTTCTACCTACACTACTTTGCCATGGTCTGTTTCTCCTCTGTGATGTCCCTCTGCCATGCCACCCTGCTTTGGAGCTAAGCAAGGACTGAAATCTCTACAAACTGTGAGCCAACTAAACCTTTCCTCTTTTAACTTTGGGTGTCAGGTATTTTGACTCAGAGATGAGAAAAAGTAAATAAAATGCCCATAAATGGAGATGAATATGAAGTGGTGTGAGCTGCCAATGGCTAGAGCTTCCTGAAGAATAGGGGGGAAATGATAACTAGGGGAAAAGTGACCATAAGACCACAAGAAAGGGGAGGAGAAAGCCAACAAGTAAAAGTCTACTAGAGAAAAGCAGCTGCCCAAAGAACCCCAGGTTTTGGACAATAACCTAAAGAGATGCTGTGTTTTAAACAGTAATGCCCACTTGACTTCCTCTGCTCTGACAGTGTGCCAGAAGGCAAGCTCTGCCCATCGTGCTGCTAGCACTGGGTCCCCACTGCACATGTAACATCCCAGGGCAATGTGGAAGGCAGATACCTGTATATTAGTAGACTGGAGCTCATGGTAAGAGCTAAGTAAAAGGCAGAAAATTGCCCTTATCCACAACACACTTTAATTCCTTCTAAAAAGTGAACACCCTGGGTGGTTATTAGAATCAGTGATAATTTTTATTTCCTTATCACAAAGGTTTCCCAGCCTTCATCAATGGCCATTTGTTTGCATTTCGGTACAACTAAGTTATATGACCAGAAAAGCTAGTCATTTTCATTTCACAGTACTTGAATTGGCTTTAGTCTTTGTCTTTTCCTTCTAGGAGAAGGCAATGAAGACCTGAACAATATTTAAAAGCTAAGGATATAGATGACAGCTGATATAAAGTGAATTCAATTGCCTCTCACAGGAAAACAAAATCATAAATAAAACCAGAATTCTGACACAAGGAAAATTTCTTATTAAGATGAATTTATTTCTGTGGACCGTATGTTATCCTAATGGGGAGATGATTTAATATGAAGTCAAAATTTGGGGCTGGGGATTTAGCTCAGTGGCACCATACCTGTCTTGCAAATGCAAGGTCCTGAGTTCAATCCCTGGTACAAGAAAAGAAAGAAGGAAGTCAAAATTTATCACAAGGTAAATGTGAATCCTCAAAAATATTTTTAAAAATAACTCCAAAATGCACTTTAGAAGTGTAGCATCATAAAACTGAAAAGCAATCCAGTTTACTAAACACAACTGGCCAATTTTCCCAGCTGGACTAGTTCAGTGGGCAAATAAAAAAGTGGCCTCCCTTCAGTTTGGAGGAGGAATTTCCAAGCCTCTGTATAAATGCAAAATAAAACTTGGCTTTCAAAGATCCAGGTAATTCCGATATGACTTGAGTTAGATGCTTATTTCATTTGCTACGAAAAGAATTTTCATGAAACACATTTGAGCACATAAATCTCATGTTGATCCATTTCATCCCTCTTTTACATTTCATCTCTCACTTTCTCCTAAACAGCTTGTGTTGGATGCTGAAACCGTGTGTCTACCCACATTGGTGCAGGGGACTCAAGGTGCCGCTGGCAGCCCGCAGGAACTCTATGAAATCTGTGTGTGTCCAGATGGGAAGCTGTACCTGTCTGCAGCTGGTGTGAGCACCACGTGTCAGGAGCACAGTCAGATCTGTCTCTGAACTGCTGCCTCTTTCAAGAGCACCTGGCTTCCTTCCTTTCAATGGGCTGAGACCTGTGGCCTGGACCCTTCACCCAGGAGCCTCAGGCATCCACTATGACAGACTGGAGATGGAGGAAGACTCAACTTCCAAAGGAATTTTCAAAGAAGAGTGTACCAGAGGGGGATCTTAGGACAACATGAAACCAAACGTTAGACACAAAAATTGAAGAAATGTCAAAAAGTTCGGGTTTATTTCACTGGATTTTGATTTTCATCAGAACAATCATGACTTTTCTCTTCCTCAGCTCCTTTCCCATCTCTCCTGCATGTCAACTATCACTGGAACGTTGACCTGCATGTGGAATTAATTTTGATGCTCATCAGTGTATCTAACTCCTCACAAAGGCCAGTCAGTGCCACACATCTCGATACCAAACCTCAGTTTAAGGCAGTGTCAGGTTTCACAAGAAAATCTTCAGATTTTCAAGAGAATTTAAGATTCCTCTCTTTTTGTTTTTGTTTTTTTGTACCAGGGATCTAACTCAAACTTGTGCTTGCAAGGGAGGCACGGTTACACTGAGCTAAATCCCTGGCCGATTCCTCTGATTTTTAATATGTAGTCAAGGGAATAAATTACACAAAATAGGCCATATGCAATAAAAATCAGCCTACATTTTTCACAGAATTCAGTTTATGAGTCTTACTTTTTTAAATCCTCACAAATTTAATGTAGTATCTTCCCGTTTACTGGTGACAGATACGCCAAGTCTCAAGGTCACAATGAAGCTTACCAATTTGTATAGATGCTTTTACTTGGAAAAACTTTTGATATAATGTCTAATTCCACCACACACACACCAAAATACATAAATGTATACTTGGGATACAGAGAAGCTGAAAAATGAAGACATTGAAATCCAAAGGAGCATTTTTATCTACTGAGATCAGACAGCTGATAAGTGGTGGGATTTCCAGGTCTGCCCAGGTACTCCTCCTTCAGAGCACAGAAGGACCAAGTTCAGCTACAAAGAAGCACTCTTACTCTCTGTGAAAATATGCTTAGTGCCAACTGTGTGGAATTCGATATAAACCAAAGGGGACACACTAAACTTCTGAAAACAGGTTCATTTCATGTAGGCCACTCATTCACTTTGTAAAATGTCCCCATTCCAAAAGTGGTGGTGGGTTTGCTTGTTGTGTTATAATCAGTTCTTACAGTAAGAATACCCTAAAATGTACCAATAAACTCAATAAAATAAAAAAAAAAAGAAGAATTCCCAAACAGCTAAAGATATAGTGAGACCAACAGCATCGAAACTCATTATTGGATTTGTACCTCAAGTTCAAATTCATTTTATAGTTTCAGAATTGAGAAATTAGAAAAGTAAACTTCATTTCTAGTGCTGCTTTAATGAAGTGTTAAGTTTAACCTCCTCATAATTTGGAGTTTTAAATTGCTATTACACATATACATATGACATTGCAAAATAAAAACACAGTGCTTCCTTTACCCCTAACTGTAATATTCCTAAAGTTTCACAGGGGCTTTTAATTATAAACTGGTACCACTTTTCCATGTAGTTAAGCCCTGAAATTAAAAATTAAGTAATGACTGTTTCCCTACTGCAACATGGCTCCTGTCCTACTAAACCATTGTTATCGTCCCATATTTATTCTCCTGTTCCATGTTTGTGCAAAACAAACATCTTCAAGCCTGAATGAACTAAGCATTATGAACATTTACAAATTAGTTTTATTTTCTAGTACATGTTCAAAAATTGGTGGTGCTTAGATGATAATGAGGTCAAGAAAAAGAATCAAGGAGAAACTGTGAAGAATACAGAGAACACAACATTTTTAATAAATGTACAAATTTGATTTTTTCTCTATATCTATATGGAATCATTGTGAAAGAAAGTTGTGAATAGCTGCATTCTCCAAAGTAATAAATTTACTCTTCAGATTGAAAAATTAGATAAGCTGTTTCCTAAAATTCTAAATACACTACATAATGTAATTTAAATTTTTACTGAAGTTCCAAGGTCATGATGATGAACATATCTAATCAGGTCGAGAGATCACTAGTAGTAGACTAAATGGTGACACACTACTGAGAGTTAATATTTTGTAATAATTTTTAAGGATTCAAAAATAGAACTTCTTTTCAAATTTATGAACCCACTGAGAAGACATGAGTCAAAAAGATGAAGATCAAAATATAAATTTTAATGGTAAAGATATTTGAGTCTGCAGCAGTGAGTTCCTAATACTTCACAGCTGAACAGAGCACAACTTCTAGGCTAGGAGGCAGAACTGCAGCTTCCTACAACTTCCTACATGGAGGGGGAGGGACAGGCACACCCTTTTTTAAAGGCCACCAATTTCACATTAAAAGGGTAGAACCACATTTGTGGAGTCCTTCCCCCCAGTTTATCTTGGGGAAGAGCAAATGGGGATGAAAAATTTCTGAAAAGGCAGAACCTCTGACATGGAGGGTTTTAAGTTGTGTCAATTTTGTGTATTTTTGTCCCTTTCTTCTCGATTTAAAATAACAGCACATCTTACTTGGCTTTAGCAGCCTTCTCCATATTTAAAATTTCATTTCAGCACTGCTGTAGTACAGACATCAAAGACATTTTCTATCAGGTATAAATCAAGTCACACATGAGACAGGCATTGCTAATAAAGAGCATGTTTGTAACTGAACAGACAGGGCCACAAGAGTGTCTCCTTAGAGGCAGGGCTTTGTCCTCAAGTGGGGTCTTTCCAGAACTATAGCCATACATACATTTTAAATAGTTTTTATTTTTATAAAAAAAGTAATTTGGCTTTAGAATATAAGTGGACCAATTTATATCAGGAGATAAATCACATTAGACTGCAGTTTGGCAGAAACCCCAGCCAGGATGCAATGTACCCATCACAGCCAACACACATAATGCCTACAGTGTGTTGATGTTAACTTTAAGTCAGAGCCTTTGAAAATGAGACAAATGGGACGGGGGTGGAAATAGAAGACAGCATGGTAAGGAATTCTACCTGCAAACTTTAGCTTCTAACAAGCATTTCCAGCCTACAGGCCTGTGCATAGATTTTGTACTTGCAACCCTTCTACCTCCCCAAATCATGAGGCAATCAATTCCTGGCATAGTAAATCTCGTGTGTGTGTATGTGTGTGCCTGATTCTGTTCCTTTGATAGAACTCTGATGGACATGTGGCTAACTAAAATCCACGATTGGTACTTTCTACGCATTATAGATTAAAAATGTTATTCTTGAGATCTATAAGTGTCAACTGGCACTACTACAAGAAACAGATCTCACCCACCCCCAAGTCAGACCTGTGAAAACCTTCTCATTATTTCGTCGAATGTCAATACAGTACTTTGCCCAAATAATTTTGAGGTTCTCAGCATTCCGTTTTTTTTACCCCCATCCCTGCTTCATTAAGTGTGTAGGCTTTTCACCCATTTCTGGATGAAAACTGAACAAATGGGCCACCTCACTGGAGACATTCTGCCACCCCTGGGAGGGAGGACACTGCTCCACTCCTTTTCAACTGCATGTAGCTCTGGAGCACCTACTCCAGCTACTCATAGTTTCCATTTTTAAAATGAAAGAAAAATACAAGGAAATTGAACAAAATAATAAAATATGTAAGTTAGTTCCCAGCAAAAATTCCTTACCCTCTTTTTCTTTGTTTTGGTGGGGGAGTACTAGGGATCGAACTCAGGACCTTGCACTTGTGAGGCAGGAACGGTGTCACTGCGCCAAATCCCTGGTCTCCTTACCCTCTTTTTTCAAAATCTAAAAATACATAAAAAATGAAAATTTAAAATATAACTACTGCCAATTAGTGGTACCAAAACATGGCCTGAACTTGTATAAAGAGTGTGGCTCTCCAGACTTGCTGCAGAAATATCTGGGTGCAGCTCAATCCTGGAGACAGTGTTTCACTAAAATTTTATATGCCTTCATATTAACTTTCTAAAATCAAATTTGAAAATACATCTGGATCCAAGTGTTTCACATAAGGGACTGTGAATCTGTACTTTTTTAAAGAGTTTAAAAAATAAATTCAACTACATCAACTATCATCAAGACAACTGAATAAAGTTAAACACTAAAAAACATTGCAAATGGGAATCTGAGACTCAAAGTAGCAAACACTTTTAATTTTATTATTGTTTCTTTTTTTTTAGTTTTTTGAAGCAGGGTCTAGTTATACAGTTCAGGCTGGCCTTGAACTCACTATGTATTGCAGGCTGACCCTGAATTCATGGCAATCCTCCTGCCTCACTTCCTGAATGCTGGGATTACAGACATGCACCACTACCCCCACTTTTTAAATAATGCTGAAATCCTAGAATTTGTGTTGACCTAGAACAGAGAAATCTTAGCTCTTGTCTGCCTAACTCTGAAGACTTGTATCTTAGCTATAAATATGACTATTTTTTATCAGCTGAGGCTCAAGTGTGAATTAGCTTCAAATATACAAGCTATCCCTAAGGCAAAGAAACACAATTCCTGATATTTCCAATAAACACACACATTACCAGTATATGCACATGAAAAATAAATACAGGAAATAATATATTTGAGTTCCAGTGAACTGTTTCTCAGGAAATTTCAGTAACAACCATTTCATATGTACATTTTGCTTTATTAAAATTATGGCACTTAATATAACAGCAGAAATAATTACATGATTTCACATCCAAAAGCAAAACAAGTGCGAAGGTGCAATTATTCCTTATTATCAATAAAAGTAAAAAAGTTCCATGGTCTGTAAGCCCTTAATTGCATAAAATATTATATTTAGCATCATTTACAGCCAGTACACTTACATAAACTAATTATTACTCATTATTTTGATATTCTGCAAAAGAAATAAACTAAATAAGTATGGTAGGACACTTAAATATGATGAAAATTAAATATTACTTCTGACTCTTTCATGGGAAAATGAAGCTGATAGTTCCCCTTTCATAAACTTGAAAATTACTCTGATGATTTTAACAAGTTTTAATGTTTTTAAAGTAAAATCCAAAAATCTTACTAAGTGCCACTATTGAGAGGTTTTTAACTACAGCACCTTTAGACAACAAAAAATTGTATTCTGTTCAACCACACTATATAAATAAGGACAACTGCAGAAAATATGTACACACAAACAAAGCAAATGTTCTAACTGTTGCTAAATGCATTTCGGTATGCAGTTTTTAGAAACAATAATAACATCTAGTAATGAGAACTGCCATCATGTCATTTTCTATATGTTATCTTCATGACATAGGAAGCCTGTAAACATAAGGTATAAAAAATATTTAAAATAAAGATGTACAGTGCACTCTAAGTACTACCTTCATATTCTTCATCAAGTAATAGGACTAAAATACTGTACCAGTTTAAATGTACCGAGTAAGATGTAAAACTGCAACAAATTCATAATCAGACCCAAGTGATAAAAAAAAATGCATCCAAGAGGATCAACTTTAAAAAAATGATAAAACTCCAATGACTTAATTCCCCTTATATGTTCAAACCAATGATATGTCCAGTATTTCATTAACTTCTTCAAAATATTTTTAAAACATAAAATAAACTTCATCCTAACTAGAGACATTACAGACTCTTATCTAACAAACTGCTAAGCTTTGGTTATATAAAGTGCAATTAAATAATGTGCCATCATCTCCTTCAAATACATCTACCAATTTTGCAGTTCATTACTATCTTCAAAATAACTCTTTTAGATTCAGTCAAGGTTTTCTGTTGGTATGCATATTAATAACAACTCCAAAAGTCTTCCAGAATGATTTACAATGTGCTTCACCATTCCTAGATAACTGGCAATGAAGCTTAATGAAGTATAGCAATTCATATTTGTGCTACAACACATTCAACTTCTGGCTCTGCTTTTTGCCTTTACTTTCACGCCTTCTGTTGTATAAAATTTTCAAGCTTTATTATGATACAGGCAGTACATTCCATCACTCTCATAGCAACCTCAGAAGTGAATCTGTCATTTGGGATCTGTGGGAAAGGAAGCAAATCAGGGTATCTTGTCTTTAAACTGTCTACACCATAAGCTTCCAGTGTATGAACATCATTCGTCAGTCCTTCAAGTTGCTGACTATATTCCTCTATTTTCTGTGCCAGTGCAGTTGGCTTTACATCTTTATCAGACTTTCCCCTCACAGCATAGTCAGCTGCAATCAAGGCTAACTTGGTAGAAAGGTAACACTTAAAGCACACCCATTCATTGGCATTTTTATGAAGGTCATTCCTAGCAGCTGAAAAATTTGCTCTGGCTTGTCTCAACCATCTCCGTGCTTCAACTGGATTCCCAACTGACTTGAATGTAGGAGGAACAAAGAATCTTTGAGAGTAAGTCTGTCCAGCTGAAGGAGGGCATTTTTCTTTATTTTGTTGTTGCCTTTCAGATTTATGGCTTGTTGCTTCTTGATTCCATGAAGTATAAAATCTTTGAAAAGAGTACTTGTCTGACTGAAATCGAGATGCAGATGTTGAAAATGGTCGTCTGGAGGCTCTGTCAGCATTTTGATCTAGAAAAGCCTGTTTTTCTAATCTGCTGATTTCGTTCTGCAAATGTTTAAACACTTCATTTGCAATGTCATGGTTCTCTGGATTTTTGTCAGGGTGCCACTTTAAATACAACCGTCTAATAATCTTTTTTCGTTCTGATTCTGGAAGCTTCCAAGCTTGCTCCACCACTGATGTCACTTCTTTTAAGATTTCTGGTAAAGAGTTAACTTTCAGCCTTTGGGGGGAATGATGTTTTGAGGATGAAGTCTTGTGGCCCTCTCTACCAGAGAAAAGGGGAGGAATGCTTCTCAGACCAGGGGCAAGGAATTCTGTGGGGCTGGTTGGTGTGGAAGGAGCACTATCTCTGCTTTGAGAGCTCTCATCAGGCCTTGAAAACTTATACAAATCAAGAGAGCTGACTATTTTATATTCACTATAGCCAATATCAATCTGATATATCTTTCCTAGAAAACTAGAATTGTCAGTGTCTTCTCTTTCAACCTCTTGCACGATGATTGCATATGTGTATGTTGGCTGATATGACCCATAGATATCACCACCTTCAGCATCCACGAGGTACCCAACATATTCTCCAGGATAGAAAACATTCATGGGATCCATAAGCAGAGTATAATGAATCTCGGAAGGTATGGGTGTGCCAGGCATCGGAAGTTCCAGTTTTGATGGCTCTGAAGAGTCATATTTCACTCCTAAACTGTCCAGTTTCTCACTGATCCTATAAATGTCATTGCAACCCAACATAGCAATTAAATACGAAGTGTCAGATATCAAATTGTCAGTTGCTGATTTCAGTGTCATTGCCAATGCTAAAAGGAAGTTAATGTCTTTACTGTCTGAATGTTGAATGTAGAGCAGGATGACTGCATTACCAAATCTCTTCAGAAAGGCAAAAGTTTCACTTCTGCTGTGGGGAATGGGATTAAAACCTTTAACTCTTAATGTTGTCTGGAGCTTTTCAAAACAGGACACTTTTAATCCTTCTCTTAGAGCTTTGCAAAGTCTTATGGCTTTTTCTTCATTGGCTAGGAAAGCATTATCATTTTCATGTTTCATAATCCTAATTAGTCCTGTGATGAACTGTTCAGAAGACAAGAGTAACTGTAATCTTCCCTGAAGAGAACACAATGCTCCAAACTGACAAACTTTGGGCGTTTCTTCATCTAACTGTTCTTCCAGTATACTGCTCAGTAGACGAGGTCTAAGCTTTTGAGGAAAGAGCATTATCAACTTAGTATGAAATCCATGATCTTTCCCTAAGTAGCACTGGCTAAGATCCACCAACATTTGCACACCAATATTCCCCTGAATCCTACTTTTATAATGGGGCGCATCATCGAAGACCAGGATACTTGACTTTACCAACCTGCCATCCTGGCTAGGAAGGTACAGTGCAAGGTCTCGAACATTCTCAAGATCACTCCTCACTTTGACTGAGTCATTCTGTAGACTCTTGAATAGACCAGAAACGACTCTCTTAACTGTACGCATTTCATTAGGATCTAATTGTTTGCCTTCAGAGTTTTTGAATATGCGGCTCAACACTTCAACATATTGCTTAGTTGAAATAATATCTTCAGTACCCAAATGTTTGAATAACTGATGAAATGTGCCAAGCTCCAAAGGCAGCTTGTACAAATAAGGTTTAAAATCAGATTCATATTCCAGGTTTATCACTACCTCCTCAGGTTTCAGAAGTTTCCAGCCATCTTCTACCATTACAAAAGCAATCCCTCGTAATTGAAAACGAAACTCCCCTTTTTCTGCACTGAGAAATTCATATATGCTCCTTAAGACTTTTGCTCTAGTTTTCACCATTTCTTCATCCAAAGTTGTTATGCTGCATATATTTCTGCAATTATTAATGACTTTATCAACGGGGGGATCCAGGTTAACATTAAGCATATTTAAAACTTGTTCAAGCTGTTCTTGTGGACCAAGGTCACTACCTTCTTGTTCTTTGATAATCAAAGGTGTGGCTTTCTCTGGAAGAATAGGGCAGGATGTCCATAACAGCTGAAGAACATCACATTGCTTAAATTTTGGATTTACTTGTGCTCCATTGAACTTTATAAGAGGAAGTGTACGGTTTACCTCTTGATACTGAGGATGAAATCTAATATATTCAGCAGGGGCCCGCTCAGGACACAAGAATGGTATTAAAGACAATTCTTTCAGAAAATTTCCAGATAATAAATCCATTCGCTCTTGGAATATATGATGGAGAAGGATATCAACTGTATTTTGTAATGTTTCTTTGGACCAGTTTTCAGTATTAGCTCTCATACTAATTTCCTTAGCAAACTGTAACAACTGCTGCTGAGAAAGTATGTATTTTAGTCCAATATTTCTTAAGAATTCCACCCAGGATGTCATAAATGCAGCCTGGTTTTTAGGTTTTATAAGTTGTTCCAATTTTTTAAAGAAGTCCATAGGAATAAACAATTTTTCAGGCAGCATAACTTCAAAAACTCTCACAGTTCTATCATAGAAGTGCTTTGCCTGCTTTAGTCGACCGTTAGCATCATGGATGATCAATAAACTTTCTAGTTTTTCAAAAAGTTGTTCCTTAATTTCTGATACTTCCTCAACACTTGATAGTCTATTCTTAAGGTAGATCAAGTGTTCTAATTTTGCATCATAAGAGAGATTTTCAATTTTTGGCAATAGGTGTTTCAAATACACCTCAAGATCATCTACAGGCACACAACCAAGCACCTCATATAATTCTTTTAAATGTAGTTTTTCTCCAAGAAATGCAGAAGACGATGACTGTGTCCATTTTTCCACTTCAGCAGAGGGTATACTTTTTGTTAGGACAAAGCAGGTTCCAAATTTGGCAATGCTCATATAGCGGCCACTGATGGATTTGTAGCATGGAAATGACTTTAAAATTTTTATGTCATCTTGAGACATCAAGTGATTCAAATTGCAATTGAAATACATCAAAAGTGATTCAAAGTCACTTTCTACTAGTTTTTCAGTTCTAAATGTTGAAGTTTGCACCATGTAATGTACAGCCTTCAAAATGCTTGTGGGGCTTTCTATGTTTGCTGTGTGGCACGACAAGAGAGGAACAAACACATTGTCTTTGGAGCAGATTTTGTTCAAAGCAAGCTGAATACAGCCAGCTTTCATCAGAGCATGAAAAACTTTATCACTCTGGGCATTTGGAAAAACTACAATGTGCATAAGGCTTAGAGGAAGCAGGACATCACCTTCAGGTACCACAAGCTGATTGGCTGAAACAGTAAACTTTGTTCCTGGAAGCAATGCCCAGTCTTTTAGGGTATCGACAACAACATCAAATGTTGGTTTTGTTTCTTCCTGATCTTCTTTTATACCTACAGATTCACTGATAAAATGCCATGCATTCTTAAGCCAAGACTCACTTGCAAAATTATCTTTCCATTTTGTACAACTTTTGGTCTTATATTCACGAGGCAACACAGAGGATAACAAGTCAGCAAAGCTGGAAATGTCGAACACTTTTGCAACTTTACAGTTCAACAAAATACTACTGTATTTCAAATACAACGTGTTCATAAACAAGTCTTTGCGGGATGGAATCAATTCATGATATGTTGTTAGAAATTTGGGCCGTTTTGCATCAAAAGTTTGTAAAACATTATCCAGTGTAATAAGAAGGGGTAGTCCCTCAACTTCAATCTCATTTTCTTCTGCATCCTTAAAACAATAATCAACTAAAAGTTTTAAACTATGAAAAAGTTTTAGGTTAGTCTGTTGCAAACGACAAGGCAGCTTCCCAATCATGCAATTAGTATCAGGAGAGGAGAAAGTCATTAAAAAGGATCTAACATCAGCAGGAGTCACATAACTAACAGGAATATCTGCATCGATGAGGCAATGGTAAAGATTAGCAGTTTCATCACAGTTATAAATTAAGTTGAAACCAATTTCTAAAAGTAGGTGTTTCAGCCTATAGACATTCTCTGCTACTGTTTTACGTGTTGTGATATTATAATCTGCATTTTTAAGGTGCTGTAATTCATCCTGTAGTAAATTGTCAAAAAATGGTCTAGTTTTACTTGAAGTAGACATATTAATCCAAGTTATTATGACTGCAGAGTGCAAATCAGAGCCATCAATATTTGGAGCCCGAACAACAGGTAAAAGACGTTTCATTTCTTCATGAATACAACTATAAAGCGCTTTCACTAGGCAATATAAATCTGGCTGTAGATCAAGCCTGTTAACTGGGAAAAATGACAAAAATTTCTTTAACGTGTCCTTTACTACATGAATAGGTGTGTTCTGTAAAACTGACAGTGTTGGATCAGAACCAGGGAAATACCGTTTTTTTAATTGAATTAGTAATTCAACATAGGCAGGAGCTATCAATCCTGTCATTAAACTGTTATTCCAGTCACTTCGAACACCAACCCCATTATCATCACGCCACAGGTTTCTTCTGGCTGAATCTAGTGCAAAGTGGCCATTTACATGAAATGGCAACCCTGTTTCCAAAGAGAGAGGCAGAAAACAGAACGCTCTGTGGGGTTTTTTATAGTTGTGAGTAATGCAGGCAGCTACTCCACCACGTGGGAAGAGAGTAATATCCTGGTTCTTGTGAGCTGAAATAACACTCTTAGATACTTTATCCATACTTGAAAATCCTGACCTATTACAAATCAGCCATGTGGTAAGATTTCCTTCAGAGTCTTCAGTATCCATAGTATAGGTTATCTGCTGAACTGGTATGTCTTTGAGCTGCCTCTTTTTAGTAACACTATCAATTACAGATGCATGAAATTGTTTCCTTTTCAATCTATCTCCATCAGTGATTTTGCCCTTTACTGAGTATAATACATTTAGAGCTCCTGTACCTTTATCGATTTCACAAATAGAAATTTTTTCCATGTGATTAAGAAACATTAGAAGTTCTGCCCCATCTGAGCGCAGCTTGTCTAAAAGATTCTGGACCATTCTGTCTGATGATGGTACTGAAGTAATTTCTGAAACTTTTGCCATTTCTGCATTACGAAGAGGAAATCTAAACATTGTGCAATTATCTAGTTTAAAGTGGGTTCCCAGGTAAAGATCGAGAACATCTGAGAATTGTGTTCTAAAATCTGCATCCAAATCTCTAAACATGCGCCCAGGACTAACAGATGTGGCTCCTGGTGCATATCTGGCATGAGGATCAAAAATACACAGGATGTCATTGCCAGAAATAAAAGACGGACAGTCTGTAATGTGATACACCGAATTGAATCCTATTCCATACTGTCCAGTTTTACAAGGATTTCCTTCTTTGGTACCTTTTCCAAGATTCTGAATTCCTCTAACATCATCTTCTGTAAAAGGCTGATTGTTATACACACAAAGTGCTGGCCCCTGCAATGGGGCCCACTTGTCATCAAATATTCTATCAACTGGATGCTGTCTAGGATCAAACACAAAACAAATTTCTGTGGCCTTAGCATCATCAGCATTTTGAAGAAGTTCTTTCAACATTTCCTTTTCTGAAGGATAGGCATTAAGAATGCTCTTAATTCTGCTAGTCAATTTTTCCTTCTGCCCAAATTCTGTTCCAAGTGTTGTAAAACAGATGTTGGACGCATATCTTTCTAAGGCTTTATGTCTCTTTGGTATTGCTCCTAGTTTCACGGCTACTTCCCTGGGTATATCAGCATGACAATATTTTACAGTTGTATCCTTTACTTTTATCCAGGGACAATCATTGTAGCATAAAGATTTAGCAGGGAGAAGCATAAAATTTGTATCTGGCAATAATATTTTCCCATAATTTTTCTCACAAAATTCTTGTTTCTTTTCTCTAATAAGATTCCATATTCCTTCACTGATTATTCGTCGACAAAGCTGAAAATTCTCTTCTGTTATTTGTTTCTTTCCTCTTTCTTGATCAATGGATTCCAAAACTAGGGCAAAATCTTCAACCATAAATGACTGCCTCACACCCACACTTTCAAAGAGTTCACGGAAATTATTTTTATATTTATTAGGCAACTGATAAAGATACGGAGCAGCTTCAAAATTCAAATGAAAAGAAACTTTTTCTGAGTCAATGTATGTATTTTCAACTAGAATAAAGCTGAAGAGTTTTAACTTTTCAGTAATTGCTATCTTAGTTAGTTCATTTTGCATCATTGCTTCATGAAGATATTTGTAGCAAGCATTGGTGATATTCTCCTGGTATAATGTAATTCCATTGTCAACTGATTTTGCAACTTCTTTCAACTGGTTTATAACCAGATCAACTGTTGGCTTCTTTAGTAATCCCAAAAACTCTTTAACAGCTAGTGAAACTGAACCACAACCTCGGAAGGAATGGGAATTTTCATTTAGAACTGGTTGCAAAAGACAAACTACATCTTGATATTCAGCTGTATAAAGATCAGTTGCTGCAAACATGGTTTCAGGCTTAAAACTGTTACCTTTCCACTCCAAAGAAAAGCCTGCTGGCTTTGTTAAAAATGGAAGGAAGGGGATTGTTTGATACTTTGCGGCAAAGTCCTTTGCTCTAGGATCTCTTATCTTTAGTTTCTCATCAATAAGACTTAAGAGGATGCTACTTCTTAGACAAGCAGCAAGATGATCACTTTTGTTAATTTCAGCTACTGACTCTGCACGTTCTAGCATGTCATCCCATAAAATATCATCTTTTGCCATACCCAACTGAACTAGTTTAATCAAAATAATAGGATTGAGGTAATCTTGAGTAGAACCATAAGGGAATCGTCCATCTATAGTGTCAAATAACTTAGCAACTCGTCCTTCAGGGTGGATCAATCTTGATGGTAAAACCAAAGGATGCCCCTCCAAAGAGCAAGGAATACATGGAGTAACCCGAAGAATTCCTGAGAATTCATCAATTTTTTCATTTAGAACAAAATTCATCAAAGGATCCCTAAGACCTGCTTCAATTTCTTGAATATTTGGAAAAAACACTTCTGAAAAAAACTGTTTTTCTGAAAATGTATTTTCAAGCAGTATCTGTTTGCAGCCAGCTTCTTCAAATCCTAATTTTACTGAAGAAGGAAGTTCGACAGCACAAAGGTTTTTGGACCCAGTCTTTTTGAGGTATTTCAGAAATATCTTGAAAGCTGCTGGACCTACATCTTTTCTCTGAAGTATTGAGTCATCTAGAAATCTCACATTCTTCATGGAAACCCAAGTGGATCCATCAGAGAAGACTCTAGTCAAGTCTTTCCCTTTTCCATGAGCTATATCTTCATAAAATCCTTGACAAATTACAGAAAAGTCATCATGAATTAAATCAGGATCAGGCCATGCTGCATAGTAAGTATAATCAGTCAGCTCCCCACTAATAGCCAGGTCACGTAAGACACTGAGGGCCTGTAAGTAGGCTTTCACAATAACATGTCTCATAAATGTGGTATTCCATTGTCCTTTTGTATCTGTCTTCCAGATTTCTTTTCTATTTGAAGTAACAGCAAAGCATCCATTGATGTGAACTGGCAAACCTGTTTTTATTCGTAAAGGTAAATAGCAAAATACTTCTCCATTGTGTGGTTTCACTGTCCACTTCTGGTCCAGCGTTTCAGACAGCAGAACTCCTACTGCCCCACAAGGAACCAGCCCTAGTCTTCTTCCACTCTCACTCAAGGAAAACTTGAGAGCCTCTCCTGTATCCATGCAAGAACATATAAGCCATGTGGTAGAATCCAAAGTTTTTTGTGGCAACTCATCTGATGGCTTTTTTGATTGGCTAGACTTAGCCAATTCAAAGAGAGCAGCTGGGTCATCATCTGGACCTCTAAACAGTGGTGACTGTAAATCAGCAATTCTTTTGAACACATGGTGAAATTCTTCAACTGTGATCTGAAGAATACAAGATGCCTTTGGTGCATCCATGGGAAGCTTTTTATTACTGCTGTTGCAAGTCTTCATCAGCTTAGCAGCTTCTTTTAAAACACTTAAAATAGGTGCATTCAATACTTTGGAAGAACAAGATTTCTTTTTAATTATTATTGTATCTTGTGCTAAGCTAGGATCTGTTTCCTCAATCTTTAAGTACTTCAAATACATTGAGTTTACACTCTGAGTGAAAATGATAAGTCTGTGTCCACAGAGACTAAATTCATCCACAAGGGAATAAATATCTGCTGTATTATAGCAGGTATTGCTAACTTCACTCACTTTTGCTTCCTGCTGAGTCCTAAAAGATAGTCGGAAAAGAGTTCCATTGTAGCTATAAGGTGCTTCTACAGTCAAAGGTAACTGACAGCCAAATACATCTATAAATGGCTTAAACTGATTAGGAAATTTCCTAAGTCTTTTCTGTTGTTTACTCCAGTTGATTTTGATCCCAGGATTAGATTTATCTTTAATATGTTTACTGATGTGGTTTATGTTTGGATCAAACATTATCATGAATTCTCGGCTCATAATGATGGGAATGTCAGTGATATGGTACACAGAATTAAATCCAAGACCAAACTTTCCAACTTTGTCAACTTCTGCCCTTTTTAAAGACTCTCCTAACCTAGTTATGTTAACAAAATCTGAATCTGAGAATTCAGAATTATTGAATGACCACAAAGCAGGTCCATGGCAAGCTGCCATCCCTGGGTCTAGAAGATTCTCTCTTATGTCCATATTTCTTCTCATATCAATCATGAAACTGCATTCTGTTGCATTTGCATCATCAGCATTTTGAAGTAGTTCTTTAAAAATATCTGAGACAGAAGGGTATTCTTCCAGAATATTTTTAATTCTTACAGTAAGTGGTTCTCTTTGTCCTGACTGCTCAAATCCCATGTTTTCAGGATTGATCAGTCTTGTACTAAGACATGGGACTTTCAGCCATTCTGCAGTTTTCATGGGAATGTCCTCATGCACCAAAATGATTGGTTCCACTGAATCTTCAAGTAAGTCATTGAGATCATCAACTTTGATGTCACAATAACAACATTCATGAATCGGCTTCATGATAAGCTTAGAAGGATTTTTGCTGTGATGTATAGGAACAGGTGTATTGGGGCTTGCTGGAATTTGATTACTATATAGCCATCTGATAATATTCAACATAAGATGAAGATTCTGTTTGCTTTCTTGTTCACTGAGATCTTCATCACTTTTGAGATATATCTTTTGAATGACCATGGAAATATGATCTGGTGTCAACTCTTCTACTGAACCACAGACCTTAAATAGTTGGTGAAATTTTGCCATGGTTTTAGGCACATTATGTAAATAAGGCTGAAGATCCAGATCGTGGACCGGTTTTATCACAGCTTGGGCAAGAGAACAAAACTTTTTGCCAGTCCAAACCCATGGAAATTTTAAGGCCCTAAAAGAATCTTTCCCTTCATTCAAATGATCATGCATGAATCCATAAATTTCAAGCAAAATATGTTGAAATTGATAGTAGTCTTCATCACTAAAGGTTTTGGAAGTATACCAATCAACAACAATTTTAAAATGTTTTAAGACAGCACTGATGCTAGGTTTTGTGAAAATACCTAATGCTTTTTCCAAGTTTACATGAACAGTTTCAACAAGAGGAAGTGAGGAGCCCACTAGAATTGCATGGGCCACATCACACATATCTGGCGGTGCACAGAGATTACAGAGATCTCCTTTCCAAACTAAAGAACCCGGATAGTTTGGAGGCCTTTCCTTGCAGGCTGGAATCCACTTTATTTTCTTCAATGTTGTCTTTCCTTCGCAGGATTGCAAGAGTGTATGATTCTTATTTAAAACCAGTAAGAGTGTTTTGGCTTTCTTTAGCACATCCTGATCTGAACAAGAACTGGCCTGTAAGGCTTCAATTTTTTTTGCCACTTGCACAATATCTTTCTCTTTAAGACTGGCTTCATTTTTTAAACCAATCTGTCTTAAAGAATGAAGAATGTCTGGTGAGGTAAAAACTGAGGGTGGAAAACACATTTCTTCTTCATCAAAAAAGAGATCTTTTAGTATTTCTATATCAGGATCAAAGAGTTCACTGGCTGATACCATATGTTCCTGTGAAATCTGAATGAATTTTAATGGCATTAACCAATCAAGCACATTTGGATTCTCATTTTTAAGAGAAGAAAGATTTTCAAGGATCCATAACATAAGGTGTGTTACCTCCTCATGTGAATAAAATGCATTTTCAAGATCTTTTAGAACAAGCTTTAAGCAGCTAGTTGTCTTTAGTTTCTCTATTTTCAACATATTTGCCAAGCGGATTGTAGCTTCATCACTACTGTCTATTACTGAAATAGAAAGTTGCAAGTTTGTTGGAAACTTGGCAGTATGGTGCAAGACCCTACAACCTTTCAATTTTGTATAAGATGAAATTCCCTGATCAGATGAGTGATTAATTCGTTTGAATATTGTCAATTCTTGAATTATTCTTTTCTCTTTTTCACTGATATCAGTTAAGCTAGCCAAGAATTTCCTCAGAGCATCTTTGTGTGTTGGAAGTAGTGAAGCTATTTGATTACATAACTTCTGCAATGGTATCTTCTCCATTATGTGCAAAACAGCAGTTGGTAATGGTGGATGAATGTATTTTTTAATGAGTGGATGCTGTATAGAGGCATCTAATTTTTTCAGGACAATCCCTCCAAGTTTTTGTACAATGTCTGCTAAAAATTCTGGAAGCTGTGCTTCAATTTCATCTTCTAAAATGACTAATGATGGAATCCTGAGTCTAATGAGTTCCACACATGTCTGATCTTCATCTAGTGTAGTTCTAGGAATAAGTGGCATCTCATCAAATAAAGTCAAATCCTCTGAAAAATGTATATAGAGATTCTTCCAAACCATCTTAAGCCATGAAACAGATGGTTGATTTCTGTCTTCACTGAATGGATACCATTGAACAATCAATTCTCTGCCAGGCCAGAATGCATTCATTACTTCTTTAATAAGACGTGCAAATCGTTCTGGATTTAAAAGCTGCAGCTGAGTACATGGTCTTCCTGTAATCATATACAGAAATGTTATAAGTATACATAATTCTATTCGCACAGATATGACAGTACCAGAAAGCTGTTTAAGAATTATAAGTATATGCAAACATTCAGCTCAATTGAGCTAAAATTATTTTTTAAATAATGATAGGGGACTGATACATAAACTCATAATAAACTATGAGAAAACTAATACTCTTTGGAAAGTACTTATTTGAAGTAAATACATAAAATGCATCAAATATATTTTTTAAAGTGTCTAGTGTTCTGCAAATGGAACCAACATGAAAAACATTTTTAATGTTTATTTGTCCATAAATAAAAATATCACAGAAAAATGTACACAAAGTTTATATAAGCATCTTTTCATGTAAGGGTAAAAACTGATAAGCAAACACAAATGAGTAACTTTTGTGTTAGTTCATGTTCCCAGGAACCACACACATGGCTACATGGGTGGGGAGAAGGGTATGATGACAGGGCATGAGACTGAGCCTCTATCTCAGTGACAAAAATTTCCTGAAGTTCAGGCAGCAAGGCAACCTACAGTTTCCTTTCAACCACTAACCAGATGTGTTAGTTAGGTGTCATTTAATCTTTATGAAACTTGAACTCTCATCTAAAAGAACAATGGGGATAGGGATCTAAGTATAAAGACAGCTCTATATGCATGCCAAATAAGTGTAGCTACAGCTCTTCCAATACCCAATTATTTAATATTACTTCTTAAAGTGTGTTTTGCAGAGCCCTGGGATTCTCCAGAAATGCTTCAGAGGTTAAATTTAAAAAAAAAAAAAGGAGCAAGTGGAACCTTACTGTAAATGGTCTCTCACTGAATAATTCTACTTCTGGATATTTATAAACTAAGAGATAAGTAAGTATTTTGTCTTGTTTCGTTTTGTTTGTGGCAGGAGAGGTTGCTGATTTTAAACCACTGATCTAAAATTAACATTTTCTAAGCACATTGTGTGCTCCAGATTATTTGTAATATCAGTAGGAACAAAAATAAAATAAAATAAAATAACTCTACAAATCTATGGGTATGTATGTGTTCACACAGAGCAATAAAAAGTATCCCAAATTAAATCATGTGTAAACTGATATTCAACTGTGTACATGATTTAGAACAATAATTTTGGAAAACATAAGAAGAGGGATATCTTAGCCCTTGGTACTTTTGTGTAACCTTATTTTTGAGCCAAGGAAGAACAACCTATTTTAAATGCTTCTCGTCAGGAAGACAACTTTATCTTCTACAAAGAAATTATATCTTGTGTAACAATGAGATATTTTAAAATACTGACGTAGAAATTTAAGCAAGGACATACTTCCGAAACTAGGAAGATGATAATACCCAGATTCAGAATATTTTCACTTTCTATACTGTATGATTTAGGGTAATTCAAGTAGTAGTATTTTAATAATTGTAAGATTTTGTACCATCAGTGTAGCTTCTTTGGTCTGTGAATCACAATATAATACAGTTTTACAACAGTGTTCTTTAAAGATGCTTACTGAATTTAACTGTAACAGAATATTCAAATCATAAGTAAAGCAAGGATATATTACTAAAGATACATAAAAAGAATTAGAAATTAAAACAAAACACTCATAAAAGAATTAAATATGCACCAGTTTATGTTCTAAGTCAAATGCCACATGACATGCATTCTGTAGATAATCCTACCAAATATTCTTGCACAAAATTTGGCAATTTATAAAACATATACCTACCTTCAGTAAAATCACCTGATATTAGTGTGCAAATAAAATGCCACAACACACACACACACACACCACAGAGAGCATGCAACTAACACACTAATCATGCTCAATTGAAGAAAAAGACAGAAATAAAGGAGAGAGAAAATGTAGTGACACAATTCTAAGTACATTAAGTTAATTGAAGCTGAAGTCCTATTTTGTTTTAAAGTAGAAAGAAATTTAGCATTTAACCCTAAAGAATAAATATTAACATGGAAGAAGTCTCCATAACATGGATTAGAAAACCACTGAAGCACCTCTAATAGGACCAGCAATAACATTCTTATAAATTTTAATAAATGATTTGTGATGGGTTTTGTGGCCTTAAAAATTACCAGCATTAAAAATAAGAATCAAGACGGATTATGTAAAGGTACAAATTTCCAAAGATGAATGTCATTATATTGGATACCTTAAATATAACAATAAAATTAATTTTAAAAATTACCAGCATTGTCAAAAGAGGCTAAACAGAAAGGTTTTATCCAAACTAGCACCAAGAATGATCACTGAACTCAGGAGGAAACTTGTTCAGTTTTTGCCTTTCTATAGATAAATTAATCTCCTCTATGCCGAAAACAATAACAACAATAATAGCAACACAATGAATTACTATTTGAAGACTGCACTATGTTTAATTGTTTATATTTATATGTTTATGTTTGGTGCTAACCTTAAGGACAGGTTCAACATAGAAATTGCAGATTACTTAAAAATTTAGTTAACCATCAGTTCCAAATGCTTTAGTTAACTGAGAGTTTATCATGTTGGACCAGACAACCCCAAAATCACACCCAATTGGCTACACAATACTGATCCAAGGCTCCAAGTCCAGGTGAGTTTTTATACTTTTCAGGCACACAAAGTAGTAATAGCAACTTTGACAGGCGGTGAGTTCTAACAATGCTCCACAGTGTGGAGAGATTCTAATCTCCTTGTACATACATACATGGTACAATGAAGGTCCAATTAAATGGTGTACTATGAATCAGTTAAATCTCCAAAGAAACAAAAAAGGAAAAGAAAGTAGAGAAAAAGAAAAGACCAAACTGGAAAAAGAGAAAAAGCAGCCTGCTTATCAGCCAGAACTCCAGCTGGCATGCCACAGACCTAGCAGCAGCGCTGCTGGCAGCAGAACTTGAGAACACCCCACTCTCAGATGGTATGGTTATGGGAATTCAAAATGAGACTCAGTTACCAAGCTGCTTACCTAAATCTTGACACTAATACTCTGCTACTGACTTCTTCACTCGTCTTAAGTAAAAAAGCAACAATAGTCAAATCACTATTGATTTGATTTACCTTCCAAAATAGAAGATATACTGACAATGCTTTAAGAAAAATTCTGCAATTGTAGCTCTGAATAATTAAGCACTCTTAATATAAGATAGAAGCCAAACTAATATTTATATAAACTATCAGTTTAACAATGACTTAGTCTCTACTAATTTAATATATATATGGCCTGCTTTAAAGAATAATATTTACCATAAAAACAATTTCTATAAAGCAAATCTTGCATCTCTAAGTGTCTAAGAAAGGGACTTGGAGAAAATAATACAAGTTGAGTCAAACTTTTTTGTTAAAAAATAAGGCAGTCAGTAAAATGACAAGTAAGAATTATTAAGAACAATCAGCTGAGTGTCCCTAATGAGAGCTGGGTAGGCCACTTTACTGTTCCTTATGCCCAGGACAGAGACAGGCTCTTTGTTATCACTACCACTAAACCAAACTCCAAGTGGTTCCTTATGAGGCCACTCACTTCCTACTCCCAAATCTCAGAATCTACTCCCCTCCCTCCTTTTTAATCAGCATATTTGTATATATTATATAACAGAGGTGCATTCCCTGACACACTTTCCCATTAAATACAGCAACTTAAGTTTATATTTCTACATAATCTTTCATTTGAAACTAAATATTCTATGAAATGGATGTTTCCAATTCACTTAAATATGGTTTTATTCAAGTACTTTTAACAGCAAATGTCTGTATTAGTAGTTTCCTCTCTCCTTTAATGGTTTTACCACTAGAAAAACATTACTGTTATAATTTCTAGCTACACAGATAAATAAAAAAACAGGATTCAACAAACCAAATGAACAAAAATATCAGACTTCAAATGAACACAATATTCAGTCAGTTATCCTACCTGAATATCCCCAAAGAAGTTGTTGTGCTAGAATATAATTAAATCCATTCTTAGAAAAGCAAGGATTGTTGCAAAGTTTACATAATCACTACGGAAATTATCTTAGGACAATGTTGTCTGCAGAATCTTTACACATCATTATGTAAACAACAAGCCATAAGCAATACTCCAAATATAGCAGATCATATACATTTAAAATTTTAAGACTTTTCAATGTAAACTAAATTCCTACTATGTAAGGATTGGGAATCTTAGTTCACAAAGAAAGTAAAGAAGAAAAAACCACATACGTTATATTATAAATTATATTTCAGACACATAAGGTCATTCGCTATGATACTAATGCACTTTTTTGTACAGGCAATCATCACGTAATATTCAGAGACTCAAGAACTAAGAAAGAGAAGAAATACAAGTTTTTAAAAATGTTTAAATATCAATCCAAAGTAAATGTACAATTAATTCCAAATTTATGATAAAGAAAGGAAGATACATGGCTTGTTGAGGTAACCATCACATAATTACAAACTTGTAAGAATTGCTCCAAAGACATCTAACTTTCCTCTGCCTAAATCATGCATTTGGTCAGGGAAACTGCTGCAATTCAGCATGATGGTTATGCATTCAGGTATGTTAGGCTCAACGTGGCAGCCAAAATAAGGACCAGAGGTTTAATCAAAGCAATTTAAGTTATTAAATTAATATCCTTCTAGTTACATTGCAGGCAGGCATTTGATAGCAGCAATACTGAGTGCCAGAGACACAGAAATGAACAACTAGATATCATTCCAGACTTTGTCGCTATCTAATGGGGATGGTAGTATTAGAAAATTGATGATAAATAACTATAAAGTGTAGATGTGTGAGTGCTGTGGTGAGTCCAGTGCTGGGGAAGGACACATAGGCTGCACAGAACAGTAGCAGGCAATGAGATGAAGGGTGCTGAAAAAGAAAGATCATGTGCACCATACCTGAGGAGAAAAGAGAACATCCCTTCCAAATATGGGGAAATTCAGGGGAAACAATGAGACTTAGCAAGAAGGAAATGAGTACCGGCAAACCTTTATATAACATTTCTCCATATCAAATATCTTCAGTAGCCCAGAAAAAAGGACCCAAACAGAAAATGCCTCATAGGGAATATTAAAGATTCTGGCCTTTGTGTAAGAAAAGGGAGACCCTTTGAGAGATTTTCATAAAAACGCGGAAAAATAACATTTTAGAAAGACAATCCTCACAGTACACTGTTTAAAGAGGCAAAAATGAATGCAGCAGACAAAGTCACCTCTGCATTTTGGGGAGAGATGACACTAAGCAGAATGAGGTGGAGGGTCATGATGGGAGGCAGAAAAAGCTTCTTCCTAAGATATAGTTCTTCTGTGCAATAGCTATGGCAGTGGTCGCCAAAAAGCAACTTTACAGTACAAGTCTTGTGTTAAAATCTCTGGAATACCACTATCTGTATACCTGAGGCAGGCACCTAAAAATACTATAGTTTCTGAAGATTTCTATGTATGTACATGAGGTATCATTATCTCTGTAGTAAAAATATAAGTTATGACAGAGATGTTGAAATGGATCTTGAAAATACATTTTCCCTCCAGATATAACTGCTGCAATCTTTTCCTTGTATGTGCAAGAGGAACAAAAGCTGCTCTGCCCACATGCACCCACCTCAGGGCCACTGAAATCTCAGTGTTTCACAAATGCTGTCACACTAAAAGACAGTACCGATTTACGTCAGTGTCCTCATTCTACTGGGAGCTTGTTCAGGTTTATTTGTCTCTATATTGATTCAATTTAACATAATGCCTGCTACATATGGGAAATGGAAATAAATACTTATGAAAGACAAATATGTATGAAATGGAACAAAGATATGGCCATATCTAATGAATGCATATGAAAATTAAAATATATAAATAGAATCCTTGCATCAATCTATTAGGCATCTGGCTCACTTAAATGTTCTTTATTCTATTGAGTTTCATCCAAAACCCATTTATCTACTCTTATAACTATCCCTCTATTCACTAATTTCTGACAGTCACCCACATTTATTCATGTAACTTGCTAAAGAAATAATCTAAACTTGCAAATTAAAAACAAAAACCAGAACTGTAGCTCCAACTCTGCAATTCACACAAGTCATTTAAGTCCTTCAATTTCTTTGAGTTTCTGTAATAGAAATGATATGGGTTCTGTTCTCTCACGGTTGTAGAGAATACTATAACAGAAGACAATGATATGAAAAAATAAAATACCGAGTCATAGACACAGTGGCAAGATTTGCCTTTCACCTTCGTAGCCTTACTCCTGTCATCCTGACCCAAACGAGCAGGAGGAAGTATCAATATGTCCAACAAACAGATCATCACCCAGGCACTTGGCCACACCCCAGAATACAAAAATAAAATAATCACTGCTTCTTCTGTCAAGGACTTCAAAGTTTAGTCCAATAGGAATATGATCATAATAAAACAGAGTGGATTAAATTAGTTCATTACTAAATATGAATTCATTTGAGGGCTCTTTCCTCAGCTTTTATTTTGTTCTGTACTTTGAGTGAATCTCATCGCATCATTTTTTTTTTTTTTTTTAAATTGGGAATTGAACTTGAGACCTTGTGCTTGTGAAGCAGCAGTAGAACCACTGAGCTAAATCCCTGGCCCAGCACCTCATCTTTGAAAGGATAATGTATGATAACCACTGGAAAACTGGGCTTGTTGTCATGGAAATCTAGGCTTAAAGTCTATTTGTCTATTTATATTGTGACTTTGTTTTATAATTTTTATTTTTATGAGTATGTTTGTAGCACATAATGATTACATCTGTGGTGAGTTGGTTCATGTATGTAACACATCTTAATTCTTTTGATCTCACTTCCTCATTAGTGATATAGTAGTATACAACAGCATCTTTCCATAGGGTACGTTTGAGATCTCTAGGTTTTGATTACATGAAATGCAAAACCACTTTATCAAAAAGTTAATGAAATGAGAATAAGATGTTGGTGGAGGATGGTAACAGTCACAACTGACAGTTGAATTTATCCAAATTTGTATAATCAGGGCAGGCAAATTAATGAAAAACATTTTTTTTTAGTATTTACTCATAACATGCAATACTCTAAAAACCAAATGATATATGCAGAATGTTAACTTAGTACCTAGCACATAATAAATACTAATAAAGAGTAGCTATTGTGATAATTTTGTACTTGGAATTCTATATGTAGTTCAAAATCAATATTTTAAAAACTTTAGTCCTCACACTTTTCCCCTTTTTGCTTTTGAGTGATCTTGATGAGAATGATGCTTACTACCCGCCTGGTTGGCCCAGAATGAGCACTTGCTTTGTCTTCTGTGTTCCACAGTTGGTAGGTTCTATTGATCTGTCCCCGGACATTTTCTCTGTGAATGTCTTTTATCCTACTGTCACTGGTGTAATGCAGGTCCTGTAATTCCTTGTGATGTTGTTAACTATACCCCATAATTGCTGTCTGCCTTCAGTGTTCACTCTGTGTCTGATTATGTTACAATGCTGCTTCAGGTTTTCCACTGGATCTGATTTTGTCAGGAGAAATCAGATCTTGCTGTTATAGTTTGGATGGCTTTCTGTGATTGTGAACTTTCTGTGGTGGTTAATTTCTGATTGTGAGCATTTGTGATTGTGAAATGCTGCCTCATTCAAATTCCCTGTTCTGTACTAGTCATACAAGCAGGCAGATAAACATCTATGCCCCCTACCATAGAGCACAGTGCCTACTTCAGGATAGGCACTCAGTAATTTTTCTTTTTTATTGGAGTAAACATTTTCTCATATTTGTACTTTTGTATATGGTGTTTCTTTTGTGTTGAATATTTTCTTCCATCTTCCACTTTGCCCAGTTAACTTTTCTTTTCTTTTTGATGGTGCTGGGGATCAAATTCAGGACCTCATACATGCCAGCAAGCACTCTACCACCGAGCTGTATCTCCAGCCTCTAACTTTTTTAAATATTAGTTTTTAAAAACTGATAAAACATATAAATCATCCCTATGTGTACAATATTTTGTGGTGTTTTGATACATGTGTATAATATATATTATACATTGTGTATTATGTACATTGTATTTCTGTATACATTATGTACATTATATGTTGTATATTATATACAATATATAGCTAGTGTTTTCTGTCACCAACACAATGGAGTAACCACAACAGAGAGTAAAAAATATCAAGTGTTATACATTTGTGGTATTTCCTATCATATAAAGAAAGCTCCATAAACATGATACACTTAGCTTCTCTTCTCCTGTACTGATACTCACATATAGCCCACACCTCTAAGAAAGTCAAATGACAACTGAGAAACTAAGAATCTACACCTGTTTGGTAAGTTTTTAGAGCAGGATCTATTTTTTGTAGGGGTAAACCCATGAGAAGAAGCCTGTGGTTCTGCAGTGCTGCCTCTGACTGGATTGTGAACTGATCCATTTAATTGTGAGGTTCAAGAGAAAAAGATCAATGCTTGCAATAAGCACACACCATGACTGATGAACAAAAGAACAATTCATGAATAGACATCTAGAGAACAGTGCAAAGAAAACTAACTTAAGTGGGAGGGGAAAAGAAGAGAAAGTAAAAAGAATTAAAATGTGTTATGTCCATGTACCAACTCTCCATGATGAATACCAATATTATATGGCATGTGCTAATAAAAAAAATTTTTAAAGAAAATTAACCAAGAATCAGTGACAAAATGTTTATAATACAAACCAAAAATAACTAACCAGAATACATGGTACATGAGAAAATCAAAAGATATAGAAAGTGGGAGGACTCAACTCTGTAAAGACAGAAAACTAGGGGCTGGGGATTTAGCTCAGTTTTTCTGTCACCTGCTTTGCAAGCACAAAGACCCGAGTTCAATCCCTGGTACCTAAATAAATAAATAAATACACACATACTACTAAAATATTTTTTTAAAAGAAAACTACCCAAATTAACAAAAATTTAACACATCTCTAAAAGTACACTGCCAAGTGTGGCCCCCCATCCTCCCAGACCTAGAAACGTAAACTGTACCACAGGATATTTGGAACTTTTGAGCAAAAGCATTAATTATTCTATTTGTTTTCTACACTTTTCACCTGATTTGGTGGTCAATGACTTTTGACTGATTGGCAAATCCATATCTACCTCAGAAACTGTCTGCCATCAACAAGAATACTCTTTTCAAAAGAAAGTAATCTACCACATAATGAGACACAATAGCCATAAAAGAGAGTACACCATAGATCTATGTAATGATCTGGATAAATCTCCCAACTAAGCTCAAGAAGCCAAAGCACTTCTTTCAGCTATTGTGAATGAAACTGCTTTCCTGATTTCTTTCTCAGTGAGCTAATTATTGATGTACATATACAAAAGCTACTGATTTTTACATGTCAATTTTGATTTGTGCCAACGCTGAATTTCTTTATCAGACAGTCTTCTAAGTATAGGATCATATTATATATAAATAAGGATAATTTGATTGCTTCCTTTCCTATCTGTATCTCTTTATTTCTTTTGCCTAATTACTGATTAAACCTCTACAGTAAAAATACAGAACACTGAAGAAAGAAACTGAAAACACCAGAAAATGGAAAGACTTCCTGTGTTTAGAAATCAGCAGAATTAATATTGTTAAAATGGCCATATTACTAAAAACAATCTATTCAATGAACTCCCTATCAAAATACCAATGACATTCTAAAAAACTACAAAAATCAATTCTACAGTTCATATGGAAACACAATAGATCCAGAATAACCAAAGCTATCCTGAGCAAAAAGGAGGAGGGCTGGAGATATCACAATAGATGATTTTAAATTATACTACGAAGCCATGGTTTCAAACACAGCATTGTACTAACACAAAAATAAACACACAAACTAACTTAAAGAATAGTAGATACAGAAACATACTGACAGAACTACAACCATCTGATTCTGGACAGAGGAGGCAAAAATAAACACTAGAGAAAAGACAGCCTCTTTGACAAATGGTGCAGTGTTGGGAGCAATGTGTTGTAGATCACTATGGTCAGGCCTAACTCGCCTCCTCTTGCAGAGGGCATGGTGGAGCAAGGCCCTGCCAAAAAGTGGACTATCTTTTCACCCATTTGCCAAAAAAAACATCAAGCATTGTCTCTTGCAGACCCTAGCCATTCTCCCTGTTCCAATCAGTCATCCCCTTTTGGTTTCATCACCTACACTATAAAATAAAGGTGCTAAAGATACAAGCCAAGCTTTTTGCCTCATCAAGAAAACTCTTTAGTTTTCACCTCTCGTCAGCTATATAAACTTTACTGTCATCTTTGACTTCTTTGTCTTATTCTTTAAGTTTCTTAATCTCTCACCATTGTTTCTCACTTTGTGAACCCTTCAGCCATGCGGGCCTTGGCAGTGCAGGGAAAACTGGATATCTATGAGATTGAAACTCTCTCTCTCTCTGTACAAAAATCAATTCTAAATGAATCAAATGCCTAGGTACAAGACCTGAAGCCTTGAAACTGCTAAAAGAAAACAGGAGACACAGTTCAACCCATATGTACAAGCAATGACTTCCCACAAAAGACTGCAATAGCATAGGGCATAACAGTAAGGATTGCCAAATGGAGTCATATCAAATTCAAAAGTTTCTGCAGAGCAAAAGAAACAAGAGTATGAAGAGACAGCCTACTGAATGAGAGAAAATCTTTGCCAACTACTTTTCCAACAAAGGACTATTATCTAGAGTAAATAAAAAACTCAAGAAAACTCAACACCTAAAATTAAATAAACCATTCAATGAATAGACAAATGAACTAAACTGACAAATCTGAAAAGAAATACAAATGGCCAAAAAGTATATGAAAAAAATGCTCAACATCATCAGCCATCAAATCAAAACTACACTGAGATCCTATCTCACTTCAGTCAGAATGACTATCATCAAGAATACAAAAACATTCCCAACTCGGCAAAAAAAAAAAAAAAAAAAAGAATACAAAAGACAATACTGTTATTGTTAAGAACAGGGACAAAGGAACCCTTCTACACTGCTAGTGGAAATTTAAATTGGTGCCACCACTATGGAAATCAGTATGGACAATCTTAAAAAACAACTAAAAACAGCGCGACCTTTTGATCCTGTTATATATATCACTTCTTGGCGTATTAACAAAATTAAATCGGCACACTAAAGATATACCTACACATCCATGTTTATTGTGGCACAATTCATAATAGCTAAGATATAGAAACAGGCTTAGGTGTCTGTTAAATGCTGAATGGATAAAGAAAATGCGATATACATATACACATATATATGTATACGTGTATGTACATACATACACACACAGTGAAGTATTTATTATTCAACCCTAAAGAAGATGAAATTATTTTGTTTGCAGGAAAATGGATGGAACTAGAAATTATCATGTTAAACAATCCAGAAAGTGTAGGGAAGGTAGGATGGGTAGGGGAAGGGTAATAAGGGAAAAGAAAAAAATGTGAGAAAATGAAAAGATGGAAATGAAGTATTTGTAAGTGGGGAGGGGAAGAGGGGGTGAAGGGAGGGCAGGGACAAGGGGAAAAAATGACAACCAAGACCTGTCATGTAGAGGTACAAGAGCCCAACAATGAATGTAACTGTACTGTATCCCTAAAATGTACCAATAAACTCAATTAAAAAAAAGAATCCAGATTGAGGAAGAGAAATGTCACATGTTTTCTCACATATGTGGGAACTAAGGGGGTAAAAAGGAGAAACAAAAAGATTGCCTAAAAGAAGAAGAGAATAAGAAAGAGTGGGTAAAGAAAAGCAAGGAAGATAATAGGGAGTAGAAACTATCACAGTATGTCATATCCATGTAGGAATATGCCAAATGAAATCCATTAATAGGCAATAATTTTAAAAAGGAAGCCAAGACACAAAGTACATACTGTATTATATCTTATGTTGGTAAAGTGACTAGCCAAGTTGCTGCTGAAGGACAAGAACACAGCTCCCCCAAGCTGTAAAAAATGGAGGGTTCTGGGGCTGGTAACTTCCTCTTTTCCAAGCTAACTCACAAGGGCATGTTTAGTTTATAAATTTCACTATACCTGCTTTCTAATACATGCAGAAGCAAGTGCTATGTATGTCAACACAAAATTTTAAAACAGGAATAGAACAAACAATTTGAAAGAAGAAGGAAGGGAAGCAGAGGAGCAAAGCACAGCAGGGTTAAAGAAATTTTGGGAGTTAAGATTTCCAAAAATGTCTGTTTTAAAAGATGACAATTCACAATTAAATGAGTAATCTAGATGTTGGAAAAATCAGTCTCACTGTCACTATCTGATAGTTACAGATACCTTTACCTTATAGTAAGCAACATTCATATATTCACTTTTCTTAGTCTCACTTTAACTCCACCCTGATTTGCCTCCCCATTCTAATTCCTTTTATATATATTTAAATGAATAAAGTTGAAAAATTATTAGCGACTTTTCCTGGGACCATTATCTTTAAAAAGAAAAGAGTACTGCTATTAAAGGCGTATCACAGAGAATATGCTTTACGTTTACCAGTGGGACAAATCCAGATTTAGAATATTTCAGGTCAGTACCTAACTTGGGAAAAGTGGAAGCAATAGTTTTATAAAGTTGATAGTATTAAAGTTAGAACCATGGTGATTTTTAACCCAAATTATTCTTTCCTTAAACATAATTCTGAAGCTTTCCTAAGTATTCATCAGTTCCCTTTCCTGACACTGTTTTGAGGCTCAATTTATTAGTCCCCATTTTTGGAAGCTTATCATGACTAATACATATCCAGCACAAGCACAAAAAGCTGAGGAGAGGAAACCCAACAAGAAGGACAAGGTGGAAGACCTAATCCCAGCCACTCAGATGATGACCTTGAATTTAACCTTTCTCCTACCTATGAAATTTAACTAACAATCACTGTCCTTGTTACCACACAGACCACAAAGTGTAAGAATGGAAGGCTCAAATTAAATAAATGGAAAGCACTTGAAAAAATGTAAAGTGCTGTGCAGGCTAAGATGACATTTCTGATATATCTACCATCAGACCACAAGAGGAGGGTCTTAAATACAACACAACTTTTGGATTCTTTTAGATACTACAATGGCTCCTGAAACAGCTTAAAGAGTAACAATTCTATAGTGTTGACTCAGTCAAAACTGCTGATTTACAAGTCTGCAATGGGTAATTATTAATAGAAAACTTCTAAAAACTTTTATATTTTTGTAAAAAAAGGTCTGCTAACCAATCAAAATACCTCGGGTTTGGGCAGCTTCCTTTAAAGCAGCTAGAAGGTGAGGCTTCAAGTTATCCAAAATAAATCTTCCTTCAAGACCTGGGAAAAGGGACCTAGAACAAGAAGATATACAGCAATTACAATCCTCTAACAATTCCAAAATAAAAAACACTGAACTGGGTTGTAGCTTAGTGGTAGAGCACTTGCCTAATATGTACAAGGCTCTGGGTTCCATCCCCAGCACAAACAAACAAACAAACAAGCCTACTACAGTACCATGTAAATTCCAGACAGTTAAACCTACTGTTTTATTTTACCAAAATTATGATATACACATTATTTTTTTTTTTTGCTCAAACAGGCTTTGCTCATAGGGCATCATATATCATATAAACTCACAAGTATTCTAAACACCTTAAGATAAAAATTTTTTGAAGTATCATTACAAATCCTGAGTTAATAGTTATTTACTACCTCATTTTAAATTTCATCAAAGTAATTCATTAATGATTTATCTGATGTAGCTATTAACAATTGTAATCATTGTTTTCAGTGTTGTTATTGAAATTTCCAAGATAAATAATTACTTTCATAATTTTTTTGAGACAGGGTCTCACTACATTACACTGGATGGCCTTAAAATCTTATGCTCAAACAATTCTGCTTCAGCCTCCCAAGTAGCTGGGACTGTAAGTACAGGCTACCATGCCCAATACTGTATAACTTTTTAAGTGCTAAAAGTTGGAACACTTTTTCACTTTAAAATATAAAATGTATTCTTTAATATCCTAACTAAGCATTCCTTTAAAAGACTTCCTACCTTTAAAATCTTCATAGATAACTTGTGAATTTTCTAAGAAGGCACCCCAAGTATGGTAGAAGCAAAGAGCCCCTAGGAGTAAGGCAGCATTCTAGTACCTTGGATACTGTTCTGAGGTAATATAAACAACATCTTGGTCTGACACAGATGAGGAGAAGGGTATAAAATTTCCATTTTGTAAAGGTAGCAGCTCCAGCCCAAGGAGCTCACTGTAGGCTTGGTCAGAAAGAACGAACTCTAGAAGGTGGAGCTTTTCTTCTGTGCTGCCCACGTGTGCGCACTTTCGCAGCACCTGCCGCACCCAAGTGGGTGTCACCTTCCTCATGGGGGTGGCAACAGGTGAGGCAGCAGCATTGAGCTGAACTGCAGCAGCCAGATTTTGTGGTAGCTTGGCAATCTGCTTCCCTGAGCTCTGGAGGTAGCTGAGCACAGATTTTGTGTATTCCAAACTTTCATCAAGTTCAGAGAAGTATGCCTGCTCCAACTTGACCCAGTCGTTGCTGACTGAGTAAATAACAGCATTCTGGAAGAGTTCGCTAAAGAGGGGTGCCAACACCGGCTGCCAATGCACCTTCACTTTGCTAGCCTCGGGCCAAAGCTTGTAGATGAGGTCAACTGACAAGGGGAAATCAGAGCTCTTTTCTGTTTCCAGTCGTTTTATGGAATCTAAGATCAGTGTAGCATAAGCTTTGGGGACAACATTCACAATGAGAAATTCATTCCATAAGGCCGCAGGATCTCTCCACTGGTCCAACTCTCTCCATTTTATGCTCCTACGATTGTCAGTCAGGCCAAAGAATCCACTGATGTGAACTGGAAGCCCTGTTCTGCTCTCCTCACCAGGTGGCAAAGGAAGAAAACAAAATGCTTTTCCTGAGAAATCAGACACTGCTCCTTTTTCTTCATCATCTTTGTCTGATAAAGACATGGCAATTCCAATAACTGGGACAAATTTCAAGTCATCAGCTAAAGAGTCAAGTTTACTACTAATCCCTCGCCCACCCACACTGTTACACACCAACCAAGATGTCTTCTGTGCATCCTTAGTACCCTCATCTTCCAAAATTATATTTATATGATACGTTACACAGGTGATGCTATTGCTTGGGATCTTTTTACAGTAGTTACTTATAGCAGTTCCAAGAATCTTTATAGAATTTGGCCTTTCATGTTTCAGGGCCTTATTCTCACTCGAAGTTACTCTGAACAACAGTTTCTCTGTCCCATCAGACTCTCGAACATGTAAAGAGACATCTTGCACACTTTTCAGAAAGAGCAGGACTGTGTCTGCATCTGCCCTGAAAGACTCAAACAGCTCAAGAACCTTCTGCTTATTATAGAGGTTGCTACTAAGCTGTGAAGGTTGTAGGCGAAGAGGGAAACGAAAAAATGTTCCTGGAAAATTGCCATTTATAAACGTCTCCTTGGTGCTTCCAAAGACACCAATAAAGGGTGCAAACTGGTCAGAAAGCTCACTAATTTCTTTGCTGTCATCTTTCAGTTGCCAACACTGGCCTGATTCTTGGGGGCCAAAAAGTGTTTGATGAGGATCTAACATCCCGATCTGGTCACCACTGAAAATACACGGAACATCTGTAAGGAAAATTAAAGTCATGATCAACTCTGAAATTTACTGTACAATTATAATTACGGTTAATAGAGTTATGAACTTATAATTACTTTCAAAATATTACATATAAATAGTAGGAGCCAAGATTCAAAAACAAACAGCTTTGAAAATGTAATGAAATGAATGTGGAAAATGATCTCTCTGGACACTTCACAGAGGAAGAAATGTAAATGGTCAATAGATATATAAAAAAAATGTTCAACGTTTCTGGCCATTACAGAAATGCAAATTAAAGTAATCCTAAGATTCCATCTTACTTCAGAAAGAATGGCAATCATTAGGAAATCAAACAACAACAAATGCTGGTGTGGCTATGGAAGAAAAGAAACTCTCTATTGTTGGTGGGAATGTAAACTAGCACACAACCATTGTGGAAATCAGTATGAAGATTTCTCAAAGAACTGTAGAAATTCCACACAACCAGTGATCCCCCTACTAGGTATCTTCTGCAAAGAGCTTAAGGCATACTACAGTGATACTTGCATATGAATGTTTATAGCAGCACAATTGGTAATAGCTGAATCCTGGAAGTCACCTGTATATCCATCAACAGATGACTGGATAATAAAAATGTGATATCTATATATATAACAGAATACTACTCTGCTATAAAGAATGACCAATTTGAGACATTTGTAAGAAAATGATGCACCTGGAAGATATAATGTTGAGTGAAATAATCAGGTACACAAGGTTAAATACCATATGGTATTTCTCATTTGAGGAAGGCAAAGTATAAACAAAGAAGTGATACAGGATGAATAGAAAAGGACCAGGGGATGGATCTCTTGCAATAGAGAAGTGGTCCAAAGGAACAAAGGCAATAGGTAAGGAAGGAGGAGGGGAAAGGGAAGTAAGAAGAATAGATATGCCATGCACAGGAACCTAATAACCCCAAGTAATGTAAACACTACATGCCATAACATGAGCTAAGGCAAATAATATCAACAAGTATGAAAAGGGGACAAGGGAATATGAAGAAGGGGGAGAAGGACAGAGAAGGGGGAAGGAATTAAAAAAAATAAGTTGTAATATGAGCATGCAAACACTCTCAAACTGCACGAATTGCAAACATATGCTAATAAAAAATAATTCTTTTTGTACTACTGATCAAACTCAGGACCTTGCACTTGCAAGGCAGGTACGGCACCACTGAGCTAAATCCCCAGCCCTAATAAAAATTTCTCTTTAGATTCAATCCAATAATAAGTGCACACATAGAAACCTTCCATGATTACTAGAAAAGCTAGGCTGTATCTTCAAATATTCATCAAACAGATGGAAAGAGTATTTGGATATGTACACTAGGCCCCCATAGTCAGAGAAACCCAACAAATTAAACAAGAGTTTGCTCAAAATTAAACATTAAACTGTAGACACTGCAAAAAGAGGGAAACACAATGCAGGTAGTTGCACAGGCCCTGGAGTGAACAAAAGGGGCTACCTCAGGCAGGAGTGCTTCTCATGCTGGGCATCTCATCAAGCTGGCCTAATGACGTATGGGTTTTGGCTAATATGACCTCTGAAATGATACCACCTGCTTCACCTGCTTCTCAACCAAAGACAGTGATATTTACACACTGGCAGAAAAAGGAGCTATATCAGGGTATGGAAATGAAATTCTGACCTACAATGCCTCTAACAGGACTTCCCCAGGGCAATTCTGCTGTATTTTGCCTCACAAGCAAACTTTATCCTCTAAGTTTCAGGGAAGATATAATCACAGGGAAGTCAACTCTTAACATCTGTGACTGCCAATTGCAGGTTCAACTATCACAATCACCAACTCTTGAGCTCTTGAGTGTTTTAAGTAACAAATATATCTACCAACTTCCTAGGTGAATTCATCAAAACTGTGGTCTAGGGCACACATGCCCCTGCCCAACTACACAGTACCATACCCCATGACTGAAGTCAGGCCAGGAAGACTCCTAACACTGCAGAAGCATGACTACAACTTTCTCAAATCCTCAGGGTAGAGAATAGCCTTCCACTTAATGTTCCACATAAATGTCAAGCACAAAACCACACAGAAATCCAGATGCTGGGCAATTAGCCTGCCTCTAACTTCATGCTCCCATTACTAGTTGTTTAGGTCACATCTGTGCTCCATAATATTTACATATTAATGACATGTTGCAGTATTGAAGGATAACGCACAAAAAAGTGAACATATGAATATTCCTATTCATGTATAATAGATACATTTGAATGTATAATTTAATGTAACTTAAATATACAACAATTGTCTAAAAATCAATGTTACTATAAATACAAATAGGTTTACTACAATTAAGCTATAATTAGGATGATCCTACTTTCCACTTGTTCAAGGCAGTCCCAATTTAGGCCAGCTGCCTGAGAATACCACTCTCTTCTATCAAAAACACCCCAGTTTGAATGATAAATTACATGGTGCCTCCAGGTACTACCATATCCCTACCTGCTCAGTTTCTTCTGTACAGTTTCAAACAGAACCATAAAAAGAACCAATTCCATAAAATAATTTTTACCACACAAATACTATAAGCATTAAAAACTGTGATTCAAAAAACATTCACATATTGGGAGTGATGTCTACATTTAGGAATATTTACATTCAAGTATTTCCTGTGTACCTATGAAATAGAAATTTCATATTCTAGATTCAAACATGATTTCAAAGTAATTTTTTAAAGTACATATAAGTCTAAAAATGTAGAATGTTTATATAAGAAGAAAATGTACAGATACTGGAACCACTTTAAAGATCATTTTCTCAGTTACTCAACACCATGAAATATTACACTTGCCACCTTGGGAAGGAGAGCCATGCCCTCTCTCGCCTGGAGCTGCCATCGCTCCAGCATCAGGAAGGTAGCCACGTGGGCACCCCTGAACCCCCATAACTCCCCTTTCCCCACCCCCCCACGTGCACTCTCAGACCTCCTGATTGTGCCAGTCTTTGAACCCACTCTGCAGAGGCAGAGGTGGTCATAAAGGGTATTTTTCTGAGTCCCCAACTTTGAACATCTTTAAAGAAAGGGCATGGTAAAATTGTAGTAGAACGGTGTGGAGTTCAACCATTCAGAAGGTAGGGGAACTCAATCTGGGCCTTGCAGCCCGAGGTCAGTCTGTGTCATGGGGTTCAGCCATCAGCTAAATGAGATCAAGGGTCTTGCGTCCTAGCTCTGTCTGAGCCATTAAATGGTAAATATACTATATTGAAAAGTTTGTTCACTGCAGACATGTTCTGGACTGCTTCTTGGTTTCAGTTTAATTCAAATGGTTTAGGGTGATAGACTAGTGACTACCACAGGTGGTCAGTTTCCAAGTTGTGCTTGATCTTAATGTGTCGCTGATTGTATCAATTGGGATAAAGGATTGTGGTTGATTTGATGAGCTGTTTTCTCTGATGTTATGAAGATGAGAATGTCTGTGGTCCTTAGAGACCCAGAAGCTAGGGCGCAACTATCCAAGGACAGCCCGACAACAAAAATAAAAATGAGAAAACACTTAAGCAAGACACAAAGACAGACTTCCAGTTCACCAATGGCAAACAGTAGGGCAAATGAGGACAAAAAGGCCAATAGTGAACCACCAGGACACCCTGAACTCAAAGCACAGGAAGCAACAAAAAAGATCAATCAGGCTCTAGAAAAATTCAAAACAGAAATAATTTCCCAGATAACCACAGAGATAGTGAGCAAAATGGAAGTTGTGATTCAAGACTCTAGAGCAGAAACTGACAAAAAAAATTGATGAGCTCAGGACCATGATAGAAGCCATGAAGGCCCAGCATAAGAAAGAAATGGAAAACATAAACTCCCAACATAGGAAAGAAATGGAATCCATAAAACAGATTCAAACAAATATCCAGGAGATTAAACACTCCATTGAAAGTGTACGCAACAGAATAAAAGAATGCAAAGACAGACACTCAGATATAGAAGACAGATTGCAGTCAGTGACCATGAAAAGAGAGGTCTCTTAAAAACAGTAGGGGATCATGAGAAATCGATCCAACAACTCCTAGACGAAGCAAAGAATAACATAAGACTGATAGGAATCCATGAAGTAGCAGGAGAAAATACAAATGACTTAAAAAAGCTGTTCACAGAATTAATGGCAGAAAACTTCCCAAACAGAGGGGAAGAATTTGACATTCAGATAACTGAGGCATATAGGACCCCAACTAGCTACAATCAAAAAAAAATCTACACCTAGACATATAATAATCAAGATCCCAGAAACCCAACAGAAGAACAAAATACTACAAGCAGTAAGAGAAAAGAAACAAATCACATACAAAGGAAAGCCTATCAGAATCACAGCAGACTTTTCAACACAAACCCTTAGGGCAAGGAGAGCCTGGAATGAGATATTTCAAGTATTAAAAGAGAACAACCTCCAACCTAGACTGATGTATCCTGCAAAACTCTCTTTCAAAAGGGATGGGGAAATAAGACACATCCACGATAAAGAACACCTGAGAAACTACATGAATACCAAACCAGCACTACAAGGAATTCTAAACAAGATCCTAGAAAAAGACAATGAAGGCAACAACATGAGGCCCAACAGAGCAAATCAAATAGGCAAGGCAAGAAACTAAAAGGAGAAGGTGAAAAGGTAAAAAGAGTCAACAAAAGGCCAATAACATGTCAATAATAAGTCAGTACATAACAGCTAGAACTGTCAATGTCAATGGCCTCAACTCACCAATCAAGAGAAACAGACTGGCAAAACGGAATAAGAAGCAAAATTCAACAATATGTTGTATACAAGAAACACACCTAGTGCAAAAAGAAGCCCATAGACTGAAAGTGAAAGGATGGAAAACAATTCTCCATGGAACAGGAGCCCAGAAAAAAGCAGATTCAGCAATCTTATTTGCAGACAAAGCAAATTTCAAACCAAAACTGATTCTAGTATTATTGATGTAGGATGGTGCTATATCATACCTCTGTGAATATAAAATATTTTGTACCTGCTTTATGATACATAGTAGTGATCGTGCTTTATCAGAGCTATATTTAATGATATTACTCTAGAATGTTCTCTTTCCAGATGATGATTAATATGCTAATAAAAAAAATGATGCCAGGGACCACAACAGCAACAGAACTTTGCTGTTTTCTGGATATTATTCTTTTCTTTGTTTTTTTTTTAATGCAATGTGCTGAATGTCTATAATTTTGTTCAGATGACTGCAGAACCTGGAAAACCTGCTGCTGCTATTGATGCATAACATACTGATATTATTGGTCTTTTTTATATAAATATAAATATATATATACATATATATAATATGAATTTTCAGAAACTTTAACGGTGCTGTCAACTTTGGAAAAAGTTATTCCAATTTACTGTGTTGAGTTGGCACTGTACAGAAATGGACAGCCATATTGGTCTAGAAATGTTAATTTTTTAATTTTTTTTTCCATTTGTACAGGGGTAACTCACTGTATTAAATATGTAAGGTCATATCTACGTGGGTTTGATTACAGAAACTAATAAAGTATTCTCTAAATAATGAAAAAAAAGAATAAGATAAGACTACAACAGCAAGAAGCAATTTCAATATGTTAAGGGACCATTTTCATCTTCAGAATTAAGGATTATTTTAATCTTACATCATTGCCTTTTCTCTTTTACTTTCCTTTTTAGTTTTATTTTAGGATTCCCTATTTTTAATGTTCATACAGAGATTTCTTTAACTGAAATACTGAATAGTTTCTTTGGTGTGAAAAACTATAATAGTACACAGGATCCTAATGAGATAATTAATAATGTGAAATAGGAAGTAAAGGGCTAAAGGTGTAGGGAAAGTGGAAATGGTGGGGGAAAGGTAATAAGGGAGAGGAAAATAATATGAGAAATTGAAAAAATGGAAATAAAGTGTTTGCAAATGGGGAGGGGAGGAGGGGGTGAAGGGAGGGCAGGGACAAGGGAAAAAATGAGAATCAAGACCTATTATGTAAAGGTACAGGATCCCAATAATGAATGTAACTATATTGTATACCTAGATTGTACCAATAAACTCAATAAAAAGAAAAAAAAAGAAATATTACACTTTTCTCTTTAAACATCTGATATTTAAGAATAGCATAGGTCCAAGAAAATCTGTAAGAATCAGTTTGATTCCTAAAGATTTAGTGTGACAATTTTTCCAATAGGAATAATCTTCTGCTTTTCACAGCTACATTTTATATCTCACATCAAATGACAAATGATACCAATTCCCCTGGCTCATAATTTCAACTTTCAGCATCACATAAATGAAGCAAACTTTGGTATGTTACCACAGTAAGTTTAGAAAATTCAACACACTCTGATATTTACTTGACATACTTCTGGCCGGAGCAGAATGTGGGGAAAATGCCTTTAAAATAATTTCATCTCTGAAGATAACCAAATAAATTACAGAATACAGGCTAACATTTTTCCATTATCAAGCCTAAAAAGCCAAAAACTATACCTGTTATGTGGTAGACAGAATTAAACCCAATTCCAAATCTTCCAACCTTCAAGGGGTCATCTTTTTTCCTGCTTCGTGCTATTTCCTGAATGCCATGCCAGTCCTCCGGGGTGAACACTGCATTGTTGTACACATAGAGAGCAGCCCCTGGTGAAAGCGCACAAGCACGGATTTAGATAGAAATGAATGCTATGAATCCATTTTATGTAACGATTCAAACTATTTTCACAATGAAAATTAAAACAGATAAATGACAAAAATGAGCAGACAAAGAGCTACATTCATTGCTGGCTGAAAATGCAGACAGGAAAAAGTAAGGGTATTAAGGAACACAGACACCCAAAACATAGGGCAAAAAACAAAATTAATCACAGTACACTACATTCTGTGAAAACTGTTCCAGATAGCATATTTTTGGAAGAAGGAATTACTTGAAAATACATTAAAAAGACCAGTTACTAGTGAAACTTTATTAAAGTATTATCTCATGGAGTGAAAAATAATTTTAATGTTGAATTAATAATGATAATAATCACCTGCCAGAGATTTGCTTTTATGATTTTTGTTTTTATTTTCTATGCAATGCATTATTTGAATAATTTTAAAAGTCATACATGTGACAACTGCTTATATAAGTATCCTAAAATTATACAGCATTTCCTAACTAGTTTCTTTTAAAAATTATATTTATAATTATGCACAAATATTTTTGGAACTCTATTTTAAGACCTATATTCAGAAGCCCTAACATATTCAACAATATTAACTCATCCAACTTTAAAGATGATCAATGTTTTCCCTTTAAAAAGCTGCTTAAGTCTAAACTATACAAAACATGTACAGCTGGGTAGATTCCTATCAAGTGAATAAACAAGTATAAGCACCATGCAAATGAACTAAATGCGGATTCCCAGCACCACCAGAAGGTCCTCCTCATGTTCCTTTAACTTCAAGCCCAGATATGGGGATGCTGGCGTCGTCTGTTTTACAAAAATGATGTGACTGTTATCTAAAACAGCCAAAGTCAGGATATGAAATGAGTCAAGTCTGAAAAGGCTATTTTGATGACAAGTACCGAGTGGTAAGAAAGGACACTGGAGTCAGGTGAGTCTAGAGTCACCAATTTGACCATTACCAACAGCAGACACAGGGCTTGGTTTCCTCATCTATCCACCAAGGATAAGAACAGTAAGTATCTATCCACAAAGGAGTACTGAGGATCTGATGAGACAATACAAATAAGGAGGTCAGCACAGTACCCAGAATTACCTACAAATATCAGATAATACTATTTTAAACAGTGTTAGTATATGATACTGTCAGTCCTTAATATAAGGCTATCACCCTTAATGTAATATGTAAATGAAATTTATAATAATATTACAGATATAGTAATAAAATAAATATCCTATTACCCAACAGGTAATAGGTGTTTTAAAAGCCATCTAGCAAGCGACAAATGGTTCTGTCTGGAATGCTGCAGACTTTCAGTCCAAAAGAAGACTCCCCTCCCCTCCCAATATCAACAGGAGAACTGGCAGCCAACTCTCTACTACTTCACTGCTTATTTAAAACATTTGTTAACAAATGTTTTCTGACAAATTCAAATTAAAAAGTAGAGCATATAAAAAATTCCCCCTCATATTCTCACTCACTCTGATTTTCAGATGTATCTGCTGAAAGGATCAACAAAGGTGTAAATAGAGCTACCCAAGACTCTGGGAACTGGAACTTCCTAACACCCTGGCTGTTTAAGGCCAAAACCAGACAAAGACACACAAAGACAAGGCCCCAACAGTAAGGAGAACTAGTGAGTAGTCAGCCAAACACACCACTTCTCAAAGAGTCTCTGCATCTAGCAGGGAGAGCCCAGTTATCATTCATTGTTTTTAATATTGATACAATTCGGTTCATACTTATGCTGGAATTAGGAAAGAAGTTTCATATCTTGCCTCTGCCTCAATCAACCTGGAAACTCACTGGATCTCCCTCTGCCTCCAATACTGATGTAAATGTTTAAACGTCCACCATCTATCCTGATTAAGAGGTGCTCACGGCTCTGAAAATGTCATATGAAAGGAATAAAAATACTGAGGGAAAAACAAAAGGTATGTCTGGTAATAAAAGGGCTAATGGAGGTTGATATTCCACTTCCTCCCTTTACCTAAGGAATACTAAAGAAAGATGTCTCGGTCAGCTTCCTTATAAACATGCTGATCTCTGGGCAAACACACTCCTAGTGTTTACTAGCAGGGGAGTCCTTAGATACTTTCAGATACCTTACATACCTTCAGAAGGTTGTGTATTGCTAATACTAACTCCAGAATTTATACATTTATGAGGCATGTTCCCTCACAAGCTATGTAACTTTCACAAAGATAAAGTGTTTTATGACTGAAGTAGCTTCCTGTGTGGAAGCAGTGGCACATGTATCACCCAGACTACTTTGGCTAGCCCCAGACGAAAGTACATCCTCATACGGTACTAAAGGACCTAGGGGAAGGTGCCAAGGGTCTCAGACTTCTCCACGCTCCTTCACCTGTGTGCCTTAACCACATGCTTGAAATCCTTGCTAAAGACCTTACTCTTGTGAATCTGATGTGACCATTTGAGCCTCTTATCTCTTTATACAAAAAGAAACAAAAGCAAGTTGGGCACGAAGAATTCTCATGTGCAACACTGAGTGTCAGTAAAGAGAAAGAAAACTGTCACTCAAAAAGATGACCATTCATATCTGAATGCAGAAAAAAGGACATTCTCAAATAAGCAAGAGTATTGGGGACCCTTGATCAATATCTATGAAGTACAGCTAAAGACCATGGCCACCTAGTTTTATATATCCATTTTTATTTTAAATTGGCTAATTCAACATTATTTTTCAAGAGCCTATCTCTAAATACACACAAACTCAGCTAAATAATCTTGTTTTAAATATTGTTTAATAAGGTGAAGGCAGGACTGAATGCAAATACTCCTAGACATTCAGAAGAATTTGGAAGCAAAATACTCCTAGGCTCTCTTTGTACTCTCATCTTTAAGTTTCCTCAGTAAGTACATAACAAAACCAGGACATCAGAAGTATCATCACATTTGTAACTTCATTTAATCCTCAAAATTGCCAGAGATAGGCTTTGCCTTTATACCCTTTACAGATGAGCAGGAGTGAACACAAGGGTCAGAGGTACCACCAGGCACAACAGACCCTAGAGAGTCCCACATTTTGATAGCTCTGTGTAGGGCCAAGACTTAAACAGAACTCTCCTGAATCCAAATTAGATCACTTTTCACAAATCATAGACTTGGAGCCAAGCAACCTTATAAGCTACTTTTCTCATTATAAAATGATATGACTTCTGAAATGACCAACCTGGATTTGGCAAGGTAGCAGGAGTTAGGATCCAAAAGCAAGCTACCTGATGTTACCACTTCTCACACATTTCTTCTTATGGAATAAAGTATAGCTTTCAAATCACAAATCTCATCTAAAAATGCCTGTAATAACTACAGTAAATGCTAACATTTAATAATAATGAACACCCTCTTAGATCACAAAGCACCTTTTTAAAACTATATGACTTGCATCTCTCTGAAAATTTGCCCAGGGACCTGAACCTACTCTTACTTTGCTCAGTATCTTCCCAAGACATACAGTCTTCTAAAATCATCCTATCAACCTCAGATCTTCATTAAAAGTTATGGGCATTCAGTGCAACACTTCATAAAGAACAACTGAGTTATCAGGAGCCTACTGGTTCTCTTATTATTTCTACTTTCATTTCCTTGTTTCCTTCTTGCCTTCTATCTTTCCTCACATGTTAGCATACAGGTAGCCTACAGCAAAAATTAGCACACAAAAACAAAGCCTCTTACAATTTCTTTGCAAAGGCAAGAAAGTATTATTTATATGGAACGGTGTCCCTTTGTAACTGATGATATAAAATACAAGTTGACTGAATAGAATAAGAGGCTGTTGTAATTGTATTGCTTGTTATTTTGTTTTGAGATTTTTATTTGTTCCCTCCAAATACCAACTGGTAACATCTTCCCTCCAAAAGTAAAGAAAAACACCCAGAGAAGTAGAACTAAACATGCCAAGAATGAAATACAAATGATAATGAGGTTTTTCATTAAATGAAGCATTGTAAATTATTTAAAATCACCTATCCGTATATAAAAGTATCTCCTATTTATACTTACCCTGATATTGCGCCATATCTTTCGACCAAAGTGTCTCTGTTCCATATTGGGTTTCATCATATAGAAATTTAACTTCTGTAGCCCCAGCATCTTCTGCATTCTGAATTAATTCCTAATCATTAAATACACCAAAAATAACATATTTAATAATACAGCAATCTATTTCCCATCTTGTTATTTACTTAAAATATTTTAAAAGTAAATATATTTAAATAAATAAAACCCCTGTATCCATCATTATCTTTAAGCTCTGGTGAGGTTACTTTCACACAGGTGAAAGTGTGGTTGAAACATCCTCAATTTTATGTACCTGAAATTCGTCTACCTCACTACCAACCACTAAACACAAATCTTAGGACCATTTAAAACTCTTTCTCTTGTTTACAATCTGCCTAACTCTCTTGTTCAAAAAAAATTATTCCCAAAAATTGTACATTGTTCTCTGTGGAAAAATATTCCATGCTTGAGCAATTTCCAAATATATATCTTCAGTTAGTATTTGCTTGCCAAACTTACCTTCTCTTAGTAAAAAAAAACCCAAACAATATCCATCTGTATGTACTCCTCAATACGATATTTTCTTCAGGTCTGACACAAACATGTCTTTCTCCTGCACTAAGCAGAAAGCATCATGATGTTTAGGGCCAATTTGGTCCTTTCATGAGGAATAGAGTAGTGTTATTAGTTTGGTGCATGGTGCACGAAAGGATGGAATGTAAAAATGAAAGGACAAAATACAAGATTTACACTCATCAGAAGTCTCAAAATTTCCAATTCCAAAACCCTAATCACTTCTGGACACTTATCAAAATATGCTGGGCTCTGGTCAACTAGAAGAAAGCTGGAAACAGAAATAAGATTCATTCCTTAAAGCTATGACGGCAAACCTTTCCGAGCTTTCAGTGATGCAAACAGCCTGATGTGGCACAGATTCACCATCAAAGTCCTAGAGCCAAGCCCATATTCATCAAATCTTGAACTGAACTCCACAGATATTATCCTTTTCTTATTCCTCACATCTTATCTAAAGTAAGGAAAAATCAACAGATGATAATTTCCTGAGTGACTTCTGACATAGACTAAACCAAATCAAAGGCTTATATTTTAAATGGAGGAGTCATTAGAAGCACAATGAATTGCCCTACATGACTAAACTCATAAACTCCTGGCTTTGGGGAGAAGTAACTCCTAATCTCCCCAGAACTCTGAGTACCTCTATTGATACTACAGCAGTACCTACAGGAAAGGTACCATGGCAGCATTTTGTCTACAAAAAAAAAATCCAACAACTAAAAGGGGACAAAGGGAGGAACATAGAAGGAAAAAGCCAGGTTTGAGATCAGGATTGCAGTTCAGCAAGTGCATTCCAAAGGGCTAGGGTGTGCTGCCCACCAGCTGTGCAACCCAAGGAGAATATTTGAACCACACCCTGCTACTGCCTCCTTATCAGCTGTGAATTCCTATTTATACAACTGTAGATTTCTGAAATGTTTTTCAATTTTTAAAGCCACATCCTTACTCTGTCCAGTCTAACAGATCCCTAGGAAGGAGCAACTTATTTACATTAGGATAGAACAGTATAAAGATGAAAATAAGAACTAAATAGGTAAAAAAATAGAATGTTAAATTACAAAACAGTCATAAAGTTATAACACTTTGAAGGTTATATCTTGTCTTTATTCAAATATCTATGATTTACGCATATTTTAGGAAGTAAACATGGAAAAAGTTGAAGATAAAATATTAAGTTCCAGGCTCCAACTATAAATCACAAGTTGTAACAAAAAAAAAGAAAGCTTTCCCCCTCAAGCTATCATCCTTAGGGAACCACTTTCAAATTGATTCTGAGAAGCAACAGCTAGAAATTTTGCATTTGTTCTTAATGAAGCCACTAAAATATCTGGACACATTTTAGCAAACACAAAAGGTGATAGTTGAGATACAGGTGATTTCTAAGATTTCTATTAAATCTAGCACTGAAATATTCAAGGAACAAAGATTTGATTGAGCTGGCTATACTACAAATACACGCAAGCAGAGCTGTATCAGCTCCCACCACAGACACTGCTTGAAATGCTGCTGCTTCAGTTCCCAGCCAAGAGCCCACTCACCTGTTTCTGCATTAAGGAGACACTGCCCCTGCAACTACCAACTAAATTTTCATGCTGACTTTACTGTGTCCACTTACGTTACTCTCACAACAGCCACATAGCCATCCTTTTATCATCTTCGTTTCCCCAACAGAACAGGAGAATAACTTTCAATGCCCCCTTCTGTGAACCAATGGTACCCATTTTGAAAATGAACTAAAACTGCTCCAGCATCTCTCATGAGTCACTCTAGAAGACAACACAGCACTCCCTCAGTGCCTACCCAAGCACCGCTATGTGGGTTATACAGCCCTTTGCCATCTTAACCAGAAAAGAAATGAAGGCCAAGATACTAAAGATAAATAACAAATATCTTCCTCTATTTTCCTTAATGACAGATTGTTCAGTTTTTGTTTTTATGAGTATATTCAAACTATAAGTATGTATCATAGAGAGAAATAAATAATTACAGCAATTATCCTATTGAACAGACAGTCTCAAGAAAGCAAACTTCTAAATCCAGGACCAAAAAAGCATGTGTTCCTGACCTCCACTATGGACTCTGTGTCTGTCTCTTTGTTCATTTGGTGAGTGATGCCCCTACCAATGTTCTACACAGCAGTGCCTGGGGCCACTGTGCTTAATGACAGCCCCCAGAAACTTAAGTGTATTCCACTTCCCTGGAAACTTCCTATGTCCCACTGACAGCATTTCCAAACCCAACCCTTCCAACTAAGCACTGCAGCCATGGAAGTACAGAAACACCAGCATTCAGATTTAGACAAAATCTTAAAAATTTAAACACTAAGAACACTTGTAAGGAATTTCATTTTGTCTTATTTTCATTGAAGTAAATAACACACAAACACAACAAATACCCTACCTTAAGAATCTGTCCTCCTTCAGGATACCTTCTTAAAATGTCCTTGAGAAAATCAACAAGTGGTGGAGTCGTTTGTCCAAATCGACCTGAAATACAGAACATATTTTAAATGATTCAGAAAAAAAATATGTCCTATGTGTGATTTGGCTCTTCCACAGTATAACTATACAAGTCAAGGTTTCACATATCTCCCTGTAGAAACCCGGTACAAAAATCTACCTCATTGAGCAATTTACTAGAGAGAAAAACAGATTCAATTTAGTCAAATATCAAGACTTTTAAATGAACTACCAACTAGGTTTCAAAAATATTTCTAAAGCTATACTATCACAAAAGATGACTTTACAAACAAAGAACACTTGATGGGAGGAGTGGAAGAGTTATTTTCCAAAGCAAATTAAGTAAATGGGGCTAGTTTGTGGAGCTTTGCTGATAAACACTGAGCCAGTGGTGCCTGTCTGATGGATAAGAAATTCAGCAGTCACAGTCTCAAAATGTATGTAGTATAAGTACCCCTAAGCCTTGTGTACACTAGATATTGACCAGATTACCTTTAGATAAGGGACAAAAGGTATAGGGAGAAAGAGGAAGAGGGAAGTAATTCTCCAGAGGCACAAAAATTTTTAAATCTACACATAAGTAATTTGTTTTTAAAAATTAAAAAATATCAAAATAAGCCGAGTTATCACTATCCACTAGATAAGGGGCCAGAAGTGTTTCTGAGACAATAGCTTCAGATTTCAGATTCTAGAATATTTGTATAGACTTCATGAAATATCTTGGAAATGAGAGCCAAGTCTAAACATAAAATTCACTTACACTTCTTACACACTTTAATACGTATCATGTGAAGGTAATTTTATACATTTTTTAGTGTTTTGACTACAAACTGTGTGAATTTCAGGTATGAGATTTTCCATTAAGTGGCATCACATGTGCAATCTCAAAAGTTTTGAATCTTGGACATTTTGAATTTCTGTATATGGATGCATCTGTGTAAATTAGTTTGCATAATTTGAGTGCTATTAACAAGACCAAGGCTAAATAAGACTATTTCCATAGACTTCCCACTCAGCACTCACCTAGCTCCATCTATCCTGTTTTCCTCTGACTCTGATACTCCTTCATTGCAGCCCATCATTCTATGCTTTCACTTCACTTTCAAAACAATCACTTTTAAACATTTTTATTCAGGCATAACTAACACACAAATGGCTACAGATACTTAACAAATATAGCTCAAAGATTTTGGAAATAAGTGTATTCCTGCGAAACCATCAACATATAACTACCATCAATGCCATCTTATCTGTCACCTTCAAAATTTCCTCCCACTTATCTTTGTTTCTCCTTTTACCTTTTATGGACAGGCACTTAACTTAATATCTACCTTCTCAGCAAATGTGTAAGTATTGTTATAGCTTTATATGTAGATTTCCCTTCAAAGCCTCATGTGTTCATAGGTGGGGCTTTTGAGAGTGGCTGAATCATGGATGTATGATACTGGATTAGTTCATTGATGGATTTAGCATAGTTCTGAGTGGATGACAGATATACTGAAGAGGGAAGACCCACCCTAGGAGTGAGTGGCACCAACCAATAGGCCTGTAGCCTGGATGGAATAAAAAGGGGAAGAAGAAGGAAGGCTCACTGCTTCATGCCTGCCATGCCATGGACTGTTTCTCCTCTGCCATGCCCCTTTGTCATCTGGCCTCAAATCCAGCCGACTATAATCTAAAACCTCTACAAACTGGGCTGAAATAAACCTTTCCTCCTTTAACTTATAAGTGTCAGGTATCTCATCCCAGCAATAAGAAAAGTAACTAAAACAAATATGCAGTACTGATAATCATAATCATAATCAGACACTATACTCTAATATACTAGATCTCCATATTGTATTACTTTGTATAACTAAAATTTGTACCCTTCAATCAACACCTCCCTGTTTTTCCCTCTTGGCATCCCCTTGTAACCATCATTCTACTCTCTACTTCTAGGTTAAAAATAAATCTTCATGCAACTAATTATGGCATCTACCCCTGGCAAAAATATTGCACCTCCCCCTGGTAAAAATATTATACCTCCCCCTTGTAAGCCTTTTGATTGAAGGTTTACAAAAAGATGACAACTTTTGTCATTCAGATCTCCAATCTTGATCCAATCAGGTAACTGAAAAGAAGAAAAAGGATGAAAAGCAATATAAGAATACTATAAATTCAAAAGTTTACCTCAACTTTTTTCCACTTAAGCAGTAATGCTTGTTAATTGTTCTTATCAGGAAATAAATTGCCTTGGAGAACTGAATATGCAGAGAATAGGCAAACCTTTATTTAAAAATTTAAAGAATTTAAAATTTTGAAATTTAACGATTTTCAATAAATTCTTAACAAATATACAAAGATACACATATTTCTGCTCTAACAGAATTCACTTTTTGTTTTTTTTTTACAGTTCTAGAAATTGAACCCATGGCCTTAAACACACTATATAATCCTGCTACTGGCGGACTACATCCCCAGCTCACATGCATATTTTTAAATGATGAATCAGGATCATTAAGATATATAAAAAATCATTCTTCTGGTTAACATTTCCAAAGTGTATATATTGCTCAAAATATAACTCGGTGAGACATCAACAGTATTTGAGGACAAAAAAAAAAATATTTCTAAATTTCAGCAGATTTATTTTTCTAATTATTTTCAAAGAGAGTTCCTAGAACACACTTAGGAAAAGATTAGATATTACTACAAAACAAAAACAAACGAACAAAAAACTGTAATGGAAGGAAGGCACAAATGAGGCCTCTAATCTCTGAAGTTGCTTTAGTCTTTATGTTCCCTGAAAATTACTTTCCTGAAAAAATGCACAGATATTTGCTTTCCTTTTTGGGATTTTTTTTTTCCTGCTTCTCACAGGGGCAGGGTACAAAATTTATTGCCATGATCCACAAGAGCAGTAATATGAGTGCCGTTTTAAAAAAAAAAAAAAAATAATGCAGGAAATAAGGGAAAAGAAAAAAATCTGAGCAAAAGAAAAAATGTAAATAAGGTTTTTGTAAATAGGGAAGGGAGGAGGGGATGAAGGGAGGGCAGTGTATGGGGAAAAAATGAGAACCAAGACTTGTCATGCAAAGGTACAAGATCCCAATGATGACTGTAACTGTACTGTATACCTAAAAAGTACCAATAAATTCGATGAAAAAAAAGAAAAGAAAAGAAAAAGAAAAAGAATGCAAAGTCAGATTAACCTTCTCCCCATCTGGGTCCACTTTTGAATCATCCTACATGGTGTGACCTCCTACAGGTCAACGGTCTTCAAAACATTCCTCAAGGCTCACCCAAAGGACCTCTTTTCTAGCTTACGCTTCATGGGCAGGAAGTGAAGAATATCATTTTCCATCTTAAACTTTCAACATTTCCATCTGTCGTATACATCTCATACTGCTATCCCACAAATTTCTAAATCCAACCTGTGAAAAGGTAAAATCATTAGCTTTCCTCCCAACACTGTCCCTCATCGTTATCTCATAACTAAGTTAACAGTGGTACCATCCATACAGTCACTTCACCTGGAGAGCATAGGGAGGCTCTAAACCACATCTCCAACTAACTTCTAAATCCCAGCATGCCCATCCCCCAGTCTCTCCAATCTAAGCTGCTCTTCTCCATTTCCAATCACACTTTCTACATCTCTTGGATTTTTACATCCATCTCCTATCTGGTTTTCTTACTTTCTGTACATCATCTTCATTCTATTCTCCTGTGTAAAACGCAAATCAAAGCACACTTAACCATTATCGGTTACAGAACATTTCCTTGTACACATTCCCTGTGAATCTCACAGCTGCCTTGGAAAAACCAGTTTACTTCTTGCACAGGTGCTTCATAGGAGTGCAGTTATTAACATGAAAAAGTTAGAACTTCTGTGACATATGAATAAAACAGTACATTAGAAAAGAAAAATTAATTTATTAAACTGCCACACAATCATATAGACATACATATGCATTGTAAATATATACATATACAAACACACATGCATTTATGGAATATTAAAACAACAACCAAAAAGGCCACAAACAGGCTTACAGACATATAAAGGAATACAGACACAAACAGGCTGGGAAAAAGATGCACAGATAGAAATATAAACTACTGCCAGTATTTGTGGAGTGCCTCACAACACCCAATGGGCCAATGTCTGCTCAAGTTGTCTCCAGAGGGGGGAAGAGTGCTTAATTCCAAGAAGCCAGAATGTCTTCAAGACAAGATGTTTTGTCACCTAGCATAGACACAGGCCTTGTGGCGGGGGGGGG